GCGTGGAAGTTCATTTGGATAAATCCGAAGATTGGTACTACGGTTTAGAAGTGCCTGCGCCCGGAGGAAAAACGAGCTTGTTTACTGTGTTGTTCCACGAAATTGGACATACGTTGGGTTTGGCGCACAGTAACGATCGCAATGCCATTATGTACCCTTGGTATAGCTTAAATTCTAAGACATTGTCATACGACGATGTTGCAGGTCTTCAACGTTTATATGGTAAAAAAACCACAACCACCGTCCGCGTAACAACTCCGACCACAACAACATCAACTACCACTACTACCACAACTACGAAACCTCCGATAGGGAAAAACGAAACAAAAGTACCAGATTTGTGTCACGTAAATCCATCCATATTTTTGGTTACGTCTAACCATCATATGTATCTATTTTACGACAAATGGGTTTGGATAATAAGATTAGGTGATAAAGTCTACATGGAACCTAAAATGATATCAGATTATGTCCCTATTTACGCTCCTATTTCGCATATCTACCAGAGACCCAACGGACAACTTTTGGTAGTCACCGGTGATTCGTTTTATTTACTTCACTTCCCGAGTTTCACGGTAGTGGGCGACCGACAAAGCGTCCAGCGACTGGGTGTGCCTGCGGGTAAAACAGTGAACGCTATTTTTAATACGTATGGCGGTCGAACGTATATATTTTACGGTAAACGCTACTATGCAGAAATAGACGAGTGTTCTTTGAGTGCGAGTGAACACGGTTTTACTACGGAACTGTTTCCGGGTCTGCCCGACGATTTGTCGGGCGCGTTTCGATACACCAACGGACATTTGTATTTTTTCAAAGAGAAAACGTATTACGAATACAACGAATTTTTGAATAAATTAACGAGAGTCGGTGAAATAGACTTGAGTCTTGTCGCAATTAATTGTCCCACAGAGAGTGTCTTTAAACAAATTAGGGATTTGTTAAGAAAGTTATCGATCTTTCACAACAATGAATAAGAAGTTAGTTTTCTTCGACGATTTTAGAAGCTTGGATACCGATCAACTTGAATTGATTCCTGTGCAACATTTCTTGGAGCATGTGAGACCGCACGATTTGTTAAATATGTGGCATAAGTTACCAGTACGACATCGCAACAATTTTGAATTGCAAACTCATTTGCCCTGCTTTGTTCACTATAACAGACCGGACAGCAAAATGCATATCGACGGCCCGGCACCTCCCCAGAATAAATGTCATTATTGTTTGAGTGTTATAAAAGCAGTTACCGAGATCTAGGATAGATTCATTCGGGCTAGAAACATGGTTTTGTTAAGTGCTCACTTTGTTTTGTTGTCGGCTGTGGTACAAAACGTTTTCTATATACATAAACCTAAGGATGTGATTGAAGCGTTCGTTTGTTTCAAAAATCATAATAATCGGTGCATTTGGCCCGATACGTGGACGCGTATGCAACTCGCTCAGGTCAACGGAATCGACAAGCTACAAACTTTTAGCGTGACATTGTCGAATAACACTACCGCAGATAAGCCGTATTTAAATTACAAGGTACGTTTCGTTTTCGCCAACCGGAGCTACGAAGACCACGGCGAATGGCAAACGATCGCTATCAAGAATTCCAATAACACCAGCGGCGGCGTTAACGACATTTGCGGTAACGAATACAACATCTCGGCAGGTCGAAAAACTATTTTAATCCCGCTATATGTAACTACGTGCGCTTGTTTGCTTCTTTTGGCAAAATGCTTATTCAAATTGACTAAATGTAAATATCTCTCTTAATTACACCGATAGTGGGGGGTTGTTGATATATAAGTACATTTGAATTTGATACCGAAGTCAGTCTGTTTGTCACAATGTGTAACAAAGTGGTCACTATCGATGAAAACACGATTTTCGAAATAAAGAATTCAGGTGTCCGTTTCATCTTCAAGAACAAGCACATAGATTTTCAAGTCCAGGATTTTTGGGATTTTTTGTTCTTTCTGGAGGACGAGGTGGGAGAAATCATGTTCTGGAACGACATAACAGTCTACATCGGGAGCAGTATCGAGGTGACCTATTCGAACGAAGAAGAGAGCTGTGAGTTGATACTGAAACAGGATCATGGCGACGAAATTATCCTCGACCGCGATGAAGTAGAAAATCTCATGGACCAGAAACACCGCTTGTACGAAGCATTACGTTGTCTACATATGAGCTAATAAATATTTACTATTGTATCTATAGTTTTTCTTTTATTAAACCGTGATTATTGAGACACTCTGTATAAGTCACTCGACTTGTTTACCGACGACCCGATCCACCGCGTCACCGCGCCACACCGTCTCCGCGCCGCACCGTCACCGCCCTCTACCGGGGGGGCCTACGACGGTCGGAGCGCGCGACATCTAGCAGCGACGGGCGGAACCGGGGCAAAACAGGACGCTACACAAGCTGGCGACATCTAGCAGCGACGGGCGGAACCGGGGCAAAACAGGACGCTACACAAGCTGGGTGGGGGGCGGAGCGCACTCTGGTAGACAGGGGGGACACTAGGACGCCACGCGCGGGGGGCCCCCGCTGCGGGGGGGTTAGGAAATTGAGGTTATGTACGGTTTCTGTTGCTTATATCGGCACTATACATCTACTTTTACTGTTTGACTTCTATCAGTCAAAATATTTTAACCATTCAAATGCATGGATCAGATGTTTTCTTACTATTTCTCCAGAAAGACCGATGTTAAGGTAAACGATCTTTGACCTTCAAACTCCCAGTGGATATGCTCCAGGGAAGTAGTCTGCATAATATCTGATCAGAACGAGGAAGAGTGAACTGATTACACCCAACTAATGCTAAAATATGGTGCAACGCTTGTAATAATAATTAAGAGTTGCCATTGAAGCCGTGTGAACAAGTTCAATATTAAAAGCAGCAGAATAAGCATTTAGACTGTAAAAAATGGGGAAGACCAAATACAAAGCTTTGGTTCACACAAAAAGCCAAGTCATTGGCCGAACGGAAGATAAAATCATACATGCAATAGAAATCCAATGCAATAACACCAAATAATTATAAATTTACAAGAGTCAGGATAGATGAAAGCATTCGAAAAATCAAAAGAGAGCATTGGGAAAAATTTTCGATTGATTTGGAAAATATGTAGGACAAAAGAAAATATGGATTTTACTGAGAAACAAAAAAATCCAATAAATTAGTACATGCGAAATAACTGAATTACATCAAAAGTATGGCAAAGACATTTCAATAAACTCTACAGCTCAACAGCAACAGCAAAAAGCCAACCAAACCCAAAATATGACCATTTTCTTGGAGGGAGAGGGAAACTGAAGAACAGAAAAGCTCCAGGCTATAAACGAAAAAACGAACGAATGGAAAGAAAGTATTTTGAATCCGATTTTCAAAATAAGGGGAAAACTGGCCCACAAAATGATTGATATGAGTACGGTTCCAATATTCTAAAACTATTTACTAAAATTTTAGCTGAAGATATAACTTATTTAACCGGAAGAGACATGAAGAAATAGGGAAGTGTGTGAGAGTCACGCCAGATGATTGGTTAGGCAAAATCGCAAGGAAGGAAAAATGAAATACATCTCGACCACCTGAACGTAAGCTTATAAGACGGAATGGACGCTGGTCTCCAGCATCCCAACTACTCCTGGGATTCCATGGACAGAAACACAGGACTTAGTTCTAATGTAACATTTGTAAGACTTAAAAAAAATGTAAAAACATTGTACCTTTTATAAAAATTTATAGGAAAAATAATCTTTACTCTAATACCTAGTGTGTTACTTAAAAAAAAAACAAAATTTATAAACTTTATTTTTATAAATTTTTTTCTTGAATTTTAAAAATTTTGAAACTTTTGTTTTTTGTTCGTGAGCACAGAAAGGTGTGATGTCGATCATGAAAGACTTGAAGCATAGATTAGGCCATATAAAACTGGAGTTCCTTTATTAAACTTCATATACAACATGTCCACAAATGGAGTACACAAGAGGACAAATGGACTAAAAAGTGAAAGATACTGAAAAAAGTAGTTCTTTATTAAATGCTAAATGAAAATATAATTTTAAATTTTAAAATACATCATATGACATATTTGCAATCGAAATTTTAATAATTCGATTTAAAACCAAATTATTTATAACCAAAATACGCAAAAATTATGATTTCTGGCTCCATTTGTGGGTTTTTAAATAAAAATTTTATTGCATCCATGGTATTTAGAAATGTCAGAAAATTTCTTACTCCAATATTATCTTTTATAATTGTTAAAATTTGGAGATAATTATTTTTGTCATGTAATTTATATCCTGATGAAGGTCACCAAAATACAGTTTTTAGTTTAGTTTTATGCCTTCTTTGTTTATTTCTGATTAGTCGGTGGTCGTTAGTGTATGTTTAAATCTTATTAAATAATATTGGTATTATTTGTATTATTGTTTTGATTATCAAGTATTTTCAGCTCGTTGGGCTTTAAGCATGCAAGGCAACTTGTAACTCATTATAATATAATTTAATATTAAAAATCCACCTCCAAAAAGAACATCTCAAAAGAAATAAATACCAAGACAAATAACACTATCCAATTTTCGTAACCAACTGAACTGCTGTGCTGGCAAAGTTTTCTTCTGGTACCTATTCTTTCTGGATCATCCCAGTTTGATCCTTCACAATCAAAGTTTCAAAATTTTAAAATTAACTACTTTGTTGCTGAATTGCTTGCTTTTCAAGGCATATGAACCATTTATTTCGAAATTTTGATTAATGAATGAATGAATTTTTGAAAGGAAGCTGAATACGATTTTCACTTCAAATGACCAAAGGTCAGAATTAATTTTAGTGGATAAAATTCATTGGGTTGTTACCTAAAGGTCACGGTCGCCACCAGAGTACCTAATATACCGTTTATATTATTGCCCCACTTAAAGTGTTTTATCGCTCTAGATGATATCTGTCTACTGTATATAAATATCATGCATTTAATACTTTCGATTAAAGTTCGCTTTCCTTTATCAACGAACCACCTAAGTGGTAAGTGTTTTAAATCTCACTTTCTATATCACTTCGCAAAGCTGCAAACGAAATTAATTACATGCTTAAAAGAGCTATATTTCGCATAAAAATTGAATCTTAATTATTAAATGAAATACGGAATTTTATGTCAAATGTAACAATTACAGTTTATTAGAAAAATATTTGAATCAAAATCACTAGACAGATAAGAACTCAATATCTAGAGATTTTCCTTCCATACTCCTTATAATCGGGTCACATCGAGAACTCATGCTTTGATCCAGTTGTTTAATTTGTTTGACCGACCATATTTCACTGCGGTATGATATGTTATGATAGAGCTATTATATTTTCGCAGAGATGGGAATAATCTTCAGCGCTTATTTTGCACTTTACACCATTTTCAGCTATATCCACACACTTAACTCCTTTTTGCCCGAAAATATAATGTGATATAAACACAATTTGAGAAAAATCTCGCACCTGTGTATATTGAATGGAACTTCTGATTTTTTTATCAATATTAGCCAAGATCTTTATATTTCTAATAGCTATAAGGAATTGATTATCTCATAAATGATATATTGGTCCCATAAATATTGTATTGGCTTCAGTTCAAAATGGCAAGAAGAGCAGCTCAATTAAAAAAAATTCTACTATTCTAAACACTATGTAACGGGTGTTATTCCCCTCCCACTTTGTTATTTTACATTTTACAAAAAAAAGTTGTATGGTTTAATGTGTAGATTTAATATTTAGTATTTATTGATATACAGAGTATGCCTAAGAAGCATAGTATATCAACGTCGTAAGCGCTGCATATTATTTCATTAAAAAAAAGGTCCTTTTATACTGATTTTTTCTAATTATTTTTTGCATTAATGCCAATATTAGCCAAAAATATAATCGTCCATCATCGTAATGCATCATCATGGAGGACATCACGTCAGCGCCACGTCTTTTATGTAATTGTAACAGATGTTAAAAAATGGATGAAAGGATAATATTTCAATTGAAAAAAATTCGATTTACAGTTGCATATAAATAAATAACAAAAATGCAATTAGGGCCAGCGAATATATTATATAAAAATATATAAATAACAAAAAAGGAAGAAACACTAATTTATTAATTAGGAATATTGCGCACATTGTTGAAAATGATCACAATTTTCTTGAATAGACAGTCGATTAACTTATCTAAAGCTTTAATTATCCAGTCAGGATGCAAATCATTAATATGATTTATTTCACTCATAATTAGTTCTTGAGTGTCATCTATATTTAAGCTTCAAAACAAATTTTGTTTTTTTAATAACCTACTACCCAGCCTAATATTTAGCTATAATATTATATCGCATGCAAGAATCCATGTTGGTCATGTATTATTTGAATATTCTGCCACTGAAGAAATATTATTAGACGGGGAGTCATCCTTTTGCCATATAATTTCGGCTAAATCATACATTCAGATGTTTTATAAAAGATTTTTCTTCTATCTTCGACGTGTATTTCCATTTATTCGGGTCTGGTGCTATTTGCATCATCATTTGCATTATAATTTTTTTATATTACACTGACAATATATAAGTTACAAAGTTTTCCTACGCCTATGACCAAAACCGAAGTTGAGAGGAACCGGAAAAAATTTCCCATTTTATAGAAAGTTTTATTTCATTTTATTCCCTATCTTCGGTAATACGTAATGTTAATTAAATGCAAATTAGCAATAACAGGGACCGTTATCCAGGAATTGCAATGATAATGTCACAATAACTTGCATACGATAGAGAGGCGAGTTTGGGGAATGAACGAAATGTGACAGCGGCGTTTCTACAGGTAATTTAATAAAATAATAAATATAGAAGAAGTAGCACGATATTAGGGAAACGGACGTTCTCACAAATTTGAAAACAAAATTATAAAGTAAATCGACCAAGAGAAAATGCCGAATATCATTTTCAAGTTTCTAAAGGCCCACGACGCCCCCTAGTTATCTTCAATTTCAAAACCAGGTTTCTACAAAAATTTACAATAGTTACCATAAACCATAGTTACAGCTAAGTTAATGCTGAGAAAAGTTCTAATATTTTTTATTCAATTCTGTTTGCTCTGTCTCTGGCAGTTGTGGGGGATATTCGGATATTTTCCAAAATGAATGTCCATATCTCGAAAAATGCTTAAAATTTGCATATCGTTACATAGTAAAATACGCCAAACAACGCAATGAAAATCGCATCTCGGTATCTTAACCTAAAATATGAATAACATAACTTTGTTATTATTCCGAATGTACCAAATAACCCTAATTTATTACATCGGATGCCAAATGATATTTAAAATAAAAAGAAAACATCATCTTTTTATGAAACTTCTGGATTCCTCTTGCGTCGGTTTTTGTTTAGTCGAACCAGCTAATGTTCCGCCAACTGTTGACTTCTTCAGAGCATGACGCTATGTAAATATTATCTTTTATCTTATTTTATTTATTACTTTTCTACAATACATTCGAATTTCTTAGCAGTTTAACCTTAACTTGTATAGTTAAATAATAAGGTTTAGTTAACTAACCAAAACTAACCAATTATTGAAGGCAAACCAATTTCATTAATTATTGATTTAAGTAATAAAATTTGTATTGAAATAATCAGTATTTTTTCCTTCGTTCCCAACGCGTTGATTTTTTCTACGCACTTACTTACGATGAGTTTTGTTCTGTCGGGGGTTCTCGCGACAGTTAAATTAATACGATAGTTCAGAAGCTAAAGATTTATTCGGTAACGACTTTTAAAATAAATACAATGATAGTTGTCGTGCGTTGCCTGAGGACATTGCGCTCGCGCATCGATATTGAGTGCGATATAGTGCTAAGTATAGACTAAAACCAAGAAGTTTCTGCGGCAGGAACATTAACATTGTTGCTCACAGAACATCCTCCCCTTTACAAAGAAATTGGTCAGATGGTCTTTTTGTAATTCTAATCGGACCAGAACGCGCATTAATACATTCCCGATTTCCAGTGACACTTTCTTTGTTGTCTGTTTTACGAGCTCTTTCAAATTAGGTGAATTGCTGCTAAAAATATGGATTGACTACAAAAGAGGTAGTGATTAAATTTATTGTCTCGATAATACGTCCCCAACAACTAAGTCTTTTCCCGGTACAAAATAAATATCGTAGTCATAGCACAAATGTTGCAAACGCGGCATTAATTCATCAAAAGCTTTCGTTTGAAGAACTTGTATAAGTGGTTTGTGATCTGTTTCTAGAGAGATTTTTAATTCAGAGATCTACTCAGAAAATCACAAGCCAGTGTTAATACTAAACTTTCGCATTTTATTTGAGCATAACGTTCAGTTTTTGGTAGTAATCTTGACGAGTAACATACTATTTTCTTTAAACCACCTTTGTTTTGTTGAATTAGACAAGCTCCTATTCCAAAACATTAGGCATCTGCGGATTTTTTTTTTTTTTATTTGGATCGAAATATTCGAGACAGGGGCTTTGTTGCAATAATTTATTAATTTTTTTAAAACTTTGTTTTTGTGACAATCCCCATGAAAAGTTTACATTTTTCTTCAAAAGAGATTTGGTACAAAAGGACTTGAAAAATTTACCATGCCTAAGAATCTTAAATGTTCATTTTTGTCAGTAGGAACTGGGAACTGGAGAGCTTTTACGCCAAAAACACATTTTTGTTTATTTAAAGTGATACCTTCTGCATGAATACGTTATGTCTTTTTAGTGTAGGTCATGGACTAATATGTCGTCTATATGAAAAGTAACACCATCAAGCCCTTTTAGAAGGTCATATAAACGCATAGAGCACATGTAATGCCAAATGGTAATATAAAGCGACCAAAAGGAGTTATCAAACAAGTTAAATGTTGACACTGTTTATTTGATAGAATCCGGACACTGTACCTAATCGACTAAAATAATTTGAGAATTGGACTTGGGCAAGACTTCTTCCTATTTATCCGATAATAAAATGAGTACGGAGAACTGCTTTCTACACACAGTCTGATTTTGTTGTCTTTACGCACTACTCCGATTGAACTTACCCACGGAGTATGATAATCTTCCGGTTCGATTATGTCAAGTTTTTGTAAACGATCGAGTACCTACTTCTCAGAGCCCCCCCCCACTCCTATGTCTGGGGCGGTGTGTCATAGAAGTGATGTTCCCAGGTTTGTACCGAGCCCTCCACCCCGCTGGCGACCCGGGGATCCTGTTCAGATCGCCCTTGGAGGGGGCCTTCCTGAGGACGCCCCTGGTTGCTGGAGCCCCCCTGGGGCCCCTCCTCCTTCTCCTTTACACATTTCATTTTTGGTTCCATAAAGGTCCCACGAGTAGCTAGGGAAACAAACGGTCCACCTCTGCAATTTTGTTATTATTTTTATTAGTAGTTTCACTTTGATTATCAAATTGAATTGATCTGACCTTAGTACTGCGACAAACTTTTGTCCAATGTCGGCATATTGATTTGTTGCCAGGACAGTGTTTCCTTGGATGGACGGATAATTCGCAAAATGTGCATTTTTTCTTGGCGATGTCTTCTTTATTTCCCCCTTTTCGGAACGAGACGATTGATTTGGCAACGCTGCCTAATGTGCCGCAGCCACTTCGTAAAAAGTTGGTTTTTTGTTGCTGCTGGCGAGCTTGTTGTTTTTGGAACTCCGCGACGCCTACCACCGCGTTTCCGCTGTTGCCTTTGCGATGCGGCAAGGAACTTTGAAGTTCTCTGATTTGACTGGCTTGCATTTCTGCTTGTTTGGCTTCCAAGACACCCTTAGTTAAGGTTAATTGCAGTTTTAATTGTAATCTTTCGCTGGTTGTTAGGTCTAGCATACCTACTACGATTCTGTCCTTGAATCCACTGTCCACTTAATTGTTTACCATTGACTCGCCAGGTTGTTGCAATCTGCTGTTGAATTTAAATCTTTCGAAAATAATGTTTCAGTGGGGTATGAAATGTTTTTCGAAAGGGGTTGACGCTAAGTCGTAGGTAGTTGGTGCATTCCTAAAGTGCAACCACACCTCGTCCGCTTCTTCCCCAAGAACGTACATTAGAATGTTTATTCGTTCTTTGTCGATTTTTTTTAATATTCATGTTTTATTTGGTAAATTCGAGATAACAAAACATTAATAATAACCCCTAAAGTGTTTCTTTTTTCAAAATCCTACTCTTCTTGGGCGTTAAATTCTTCTATTCATATTTTAGGTTAGGATATACGATATTGAGATGTGGGCCCTTATTTGAGTATCTAGTGATATAAAAAAACTAATACCGTTGTATTTAAGTTATTGAATTTTTGAATTTGAATTTTCCTTAGCTTTAAAATAGTTCGCACTTTGGTGGCACTACCGATTTAACAAATTGAAAACTTTGACCCCAGAAACCCGAAAATAATTTTCAGTACTTTCTCTTGTTCGATTTGCTTAATAATTGTTTTTCAAGTTTCTAGGACCCTCCGTTTCCCTAATACGGTACCTCGTTGCCCTTCCTGGGACACCGGATACATTATTAAAATTATAGAGATGGCAATAGATATATTTTCGGATTTTCTTGAGTGGTAGCTGGTATTATCCATGATTATAACACATCGGGTGTTTTTATTCCATCTTTTCCATTTTCTTCTAGCTTTTTACATTTTTAGAATGCCATTTTTTAACAACGGGATATCCTATATTGATGCAAGTTTCGTCCAGATGATAGTTCCGTCTTTTATTCAAAACTGCTCTCCTTTCGTCTTTCTCTCTTAAAAGTGATATTCTGTGTCGAGTTTTTTCGTAACGAAAATTCATGTCAAGAACGTACTTTGGTAACAACTTTAATAATTACAATTTAGGTACAACAATACGACTATGGAGACCATTAAGCTTTACATTCAATGATGATTCATAACTCACTCGCATTAAGAATCAAATCATCACTCCAGCTTTTTTTTCTTTTGTTTCAGGGAAAGCAGCAATATGGCTAAGTTCCTGATATGTCATATCTCGATTCTTGTCTCGGTTCTTATTGGATATGCAGTGTGTGCTGTTGAAGATCCTTTGATTATTACTGATTACTTAAACAACAATCAAATCAAAGAAGCGCGGGCTGCCGCATTGGTTTCGTATTCGCAATTTAGAAACGTCACTAGTTACTCCGGATACTTTACCGTCGATCAAAGGTTCAACTCCAATTTGTTTTTCTGGTTTTTCCCGTCGCAAGGAAACGTCTCTAGCGATCCGGTAATTCTATGGCTGCAAGGAGGTCCCGGAATCGCAACAGTAAGAAGTTTGTTTGACGAAAACGGACCGTTTATCGTCGACAAAAATTTGAACGTTACGTTGAGGAATTACACTTGGACAAGAAATCACTCAATGTTGTTCATCGATAATCCCGTCGGAGTCGGATATAGTTTTACCAACGGCGGATACGCGCGGAACGAAACTATAGTCGCCCAACATCTGTATAAAGCCTTGACACAGTTTTTCCAGCTGTTTTCGGAACTTAAATCGAACGATTTTTACGCGTCCGGAGTGTCTTACGCGGGAAAGTACTGTCCCGTTCTTGCCAATTATATCATCGCCAAGAATGAAAACGCAACGTCTAAAATTAATCTTAAAGGGATAATAGTCGAAAGTCCCTTTGTCGATCCACAATTTCAAAGCAACTACAGCGATTACCTATATCAGATTGGTTTAATTGATAACAAGACTAGAGGCGTATTCAAAGCCGTCGAGGAAATAATCGTAGCCGATATCAAGGCCGGCGACTATCAGGGTGCTATGGATAACTACGCGAAGCTGATAGTTCCCTACAAAGGTCCGACCCTGTTCCAAAATGCAACTGGCTTTGACAATGACTTAAACTATCTCGAGGCGGTCGCTCCGACTCTTTACTTTCAAAATCTCATCACCCGAGATGACGTACGTTCAGCAATACACGTCGGAAATAACAACTTTACGGCAATTGGTATCAACGTGTTCTTAAACTTATTACTTGATTACCCGAAAGGTGTAGGATATCAAGTAGCTAACCTACTAAATCAAAACTATAGGGTATTGTTTTATAACGGACAGACGGACGTCATAACGGCTTATGTTTTGGGAGAGAATTTTCTAAGTCACCTAACTTTCAACCAGGCCGCTGAATATAAGAACGCGTCCCGAGTAATTTGGCGTCTAGACAACGACGTTGCGGGATACGTCAAGCAAGCTGGGACGCTCACAGAAGTTTTGATTCGAAACGCCGGACACTGGGTCGCCAAGAATCAGCCCAGATGGACCTACGAGCTGATTTTGAAGTTTACAAGGAACAACATGACATTTGGATAAAAAAAATTGCTTCGGTTACCAAATTTAATAATTTAGTAATTGTGCCTTTCACATTTGGTATTGTTGTATACTTAGATTCAAAAGTGCGTATTGTTATTATTGTATTAGTAGATAGGAAACGGATCACATTTTCCATTTCACATTTAACTGTGGATCATATTAAATCAAGTTTCTTTTATTTTCCAGCGGTTAAGTAAATTATAGTATCAATTTCTATATGAAACGTATTCTTTATTTGTGATATTAAGACAATGTATCTTTTTGTCGAAACCCGTTCGTTTGCTGTCCAAAATCAAAGCTTCAGTACCAAACTTAAAATTACCTAAGTAACATTTGTCACAACGTTGCATTTGGTTACCATTTAGTGAAGGGTGAAACGTGGAAATTTATTGTCCCGCTCTTGCCATAGCGAAGAATAAAAACACAACTTCCAAAATTAATCTTAAATGAATCATATTCGAAAGCCCTTTTCTCAGCTCACAACTTCAAAATAACTACAGCGATCACCTGTGTCTGATCGGTTTAATTGATAACAATGCAAAAGGTGTATTTCAAGCCGTCGATGAAACAATCATAGCTGACATCAAAACCGACGACTAAAAGGGTACTATCGACAACTACGCGAATCTTATAGTTCCCTATAAGGACCCTACTTAATTCCAAAATCCCATGGGCTTTGACAACGACTTAACTATAGGCCTGTTCGACTCTTTATTTTTTTACCTATATCGTTACACATTAAAATAAGGGTCTAACAAACCAAAATTGAAAATAACTCAATTATCAGCACATTTCTCTTTTAGACTAGATGACTATGAGCAGTTAGGAAATAAAACTCCATTTTCCTTTTATCGTTTTTCTGTTTTCACCATTGTATTCAATGGAAAAATGCTACTAGTTTGCTAATTTAAGCGACTTTGTATCTACTCATAAAAAACTTACCGCTTAATTACACACCACAATTACACATAATTAAGATCAGCCGGTATACGTGCTGCTCCGTCCACCTGAGGTATTTTAAAAAGAGCGCCCTATATACTATTCCATTTTTGGATTAGCGTTCAAATAGTCCTATATGTAAGTCCATTCGTTTTAAACAAATCTTGAATTTTATGTCAAATGTGACGTTTGCAGGTCTTAAAATAATTAACAATTTTCCCTATAAGGGAGCCTTATTTAATTTTGTATGGATTCCTTGTGTGAGGTGGCATATTTTCATATATTGTGTGGATATTTTGGATGTAAATTGACACAGCGTGCAAATGGAAACCCAATTTTTTTTATAATTATACCCGATTGGGCATTAAAAATTAAAATGACTTCGTATAAAAAATTCAGTCTCCGAAATAACTGCCTATCGGGCAGATATTAGAGTTTGACACGAGATTTTTACAGAGTAAATATAAAAAAAGAACTTGGTTCAGTTGGTTGGCGAACACGTGGTTTGTGCCCAACCAGAAAATAAAATTAATCCAGTTTCCCTGACACTGCTGAATTTTTTCAGCTACCTCTTTACAAACAAAAATTTCAAATTAAAATACAAAATAAGACCAGATAAAATCGTTTTTAAAAGAATTAAATCTGATTTAAGGGAGGGTGGTGTTATAAAGTATAAGAGGGATAAGATTTGAAAAATTCTCTGAAACAAGCAGGATAATAAGCCATTTATGGTTTTAAAAAATTGATTTCTGCGCTTTTTCGCCCGCGTTATTAATAGGTAATAGGTATTAGGTAAAACCGTGAGTTTAAATATCAAATCAAGATACAATTACAAAAATATGGGGGTGTTCATTTGGAAAAATTTAATTTTTACTATTTTGAAATATCAATCATATACATATATGAATATGGAAATATGCAATATGACAATAGGCACATTTCACAAGGACCCATCCAAAATTAAAAGATTAATCGACTTACCTGGAAGATTAATATTAATTTTCCTTCGCTTGTCCTTGATACAATTACACACTGTAGTATCCGTTAATCATGTTCTCGATCACGCAAAAAACGCAAAAAACAAAAAACGAGTTTTTTTTTCGCTTTTTGTCTCCGCCGAACGCCGGCCGGCCGGCCGGGCTTGTGAATCATTCCGTTTTGCCGTATTCTTGTAAATCGACGAAATAAATTTGCCTCCTTAAAAATGCCAAAACGCAAAATAACCAATAGTGAGAAAAAGTGGGAGTTGAAACGACTTCAGAAAATTCAGAGTAAACCGCAATGTTTGGAATCTTATTTTGGGGCGTACAGACGCATATGAAACATATCTAGAATTTCCAAGGGAATCCAAAAATGCAATATCATAAGGGGTGTTCTATTCAAAATAAGAAAACGTGTATTTACCCTAGATGAACGGAACAATCTGTATATATACAAATTAAAAAATCTAGATGAAGCTATAAAACTGAAACTTCTCTATTTAACTTATTTTTTTAGGTCGTTAATATTGTAACTTGATTTCAATGTTTAGTGTATAAAAGCCTTAAACAGAGAATCTTAAAGAGGCCAAACGGAAAATCGCAAATCGCAAAAAATACACGTTTGAAACTGTCTACGAGAGCCGTCTTCAATTCATTTCTTGGATTACGTAGTAGCGGTTGAAATGACTCCGCGGCGTACATACAACTTTGCCTTTCGCTACTGCTGAGACCAAACATTATTTACAAAAGTTTATGCAGCAACGCGTGCAAGAAGAATCTTTTTTAATCATTAAAACCAAGGCTTTATCCAAAAGCCTGAAAACGCTAGAACTTAGGTTCTTGTTACCTGCGTTATTCGGTGGGAGATCGGCGTAAAATTTTAATCTAGAGTATGTGTACAGATATCAGTAGACAAGAGGACAAATAGAACAAAACGTAAAAGATACGTTTTTGTTTGCTTTAAAAATAAGGTTCGCAATTACTGACGGTTGTTTTTGTATACAAGGTACTAAAATAATTCAAAAATAAATAGTAAAGTGCTTTTTTTACAGCTAATAGTATTATTATCACCTATTTTATTTTATTGCGCCTTTCATAATTGTGAAGGCAGGCAACGTATCTTGTAATACAGACATGTTACAAGTTTGTTCAACTTCGGGAAACATCTAGAAACTATATTTGATAACTTAATTGCTATTTGCGTAATATAATATTCATACATCAGCACCGATTGTTGCAGAATATTAGACTTTCGAATGATTTATTGATTTTAATAGAATCGCATCTTGGCAGCAGGCAACTACTTGTTAAATATAGAGCCCATAAGTCTATCACGAGTCCGCAAAGTGTCGAATTAGGGTGCCTCATTTTTTTGATTTTCATCACAGATGTATCTATTAGATTAAACTTACCTTATTTGTTGTTTGCGGATGATCTAATGATCTTTCCGCATCACCAAACAGAATGATTGCAATGAATTACAAAACGCCGTGCTTAAAGTAAATCCGTGGTGCGCTGTGAACTCTCTGAAACTGCTAACAAATGCAATGTTCTGTCTTTTTATCAATTATACACTCAACGGTGTGCCCTTGAAGTGGTGCGATATGATCAGAGCCCTGGGCGCTGTGTTTGAGAGTAACAACTTTTATTGAGCTCATATTAATAGTAGCAGCAAGGGCATTCTACCTGTTTACACAACGTTTAAAAGGGGTAAATTGCAATATTAATCTACCAAAACCATATTTCAAGTTTAGAGAGTCTTCCGCGAAATGCTTATAGTATATTATCCAAAAATTGTGGAAGCTCTATTCATCGTTGGCCATATTCGCACGAAACCTGACACCCGTAAGTGATTTTTTCTTGTTATTGACACATATAGAGACATTTTTCAATATTTCATGATTAGCGACTTGCCAGAGACCTGCGGAACGCTAGATCTTGTCAAAAAATTCCTGGATTCCCGCTTCTTGTAAACAAAATTGTTTCCCATGTGACAAGTACCAAGGGACTAGTTTCAATCGTCTATTTGACAATCGAAATTTGTGTAGTTTTGTTTGTAGCATATTTGGCCGCACAGATATTAGTTAACACGATAATTGCAAGATTAACGTTAGTGTACTTGTCTTAATTTTTAGAATAGACGTTTAATTTGCCTGAGGTTATTGACGGTGTAGTGTCCACAATTATTCGTAAAATAATCATTTCTTTTATTTTCATTATTTAACTTTTCGGTGAGGTGTCAACCAATCTCAAAGAGTTGGCCATATTGTTGGGGAAAATGTTTTCCAAGTTGAGCAAATTAAAATACATGCTATTTCTAATTTTTCTGATGATAAATATATGAGATTTCCAAGAAACTTCGCTTTTGGCAATTTTTCTCAGCTGTTAGTATCCGAGGTTCATTAAAATTAATTGAGTGACCGGTCGCATACACATGTTGTGTTAGATAGATGATTTTCGGTGTAAAACTATCAATATAAAGAATCGATACGTATCCAACTTCCAAGCGCTCTTCCCACATTTAAAAACGGGCGATCACCATTTTTCCGGCAGGTCCGTTCCGGAGTGGAGAATATTAACTTACTCAGTAGATGTTTAGATATGCCTTCTGGAACTTGTCATTTGATATACCAATCCAGAACAATTTTGTTCCATTCCGTTCTATTTACCAAACTAGACGTTTTGCTACATCATGATGAGTCACAGGTAGCTTCGCTTCTGACCAGGATCCGTCTCATTCTGGTCTGAGTCATCCGAGTCGTCTAAACCAATGTCACTAAATTTAATCTTATAAAGCAATTTGCCTTTATAGTTACCACCTTTGCCTTTATTAATTGCAATTAGTAATTTTTAATATCTTGGCTGTTTGAAATAGATCCTGAGCTAACTCTAATAATCACAAAATGTTTTGATTAATTCTCTCATTACGGTGCATAAATTGAAATTCTTAACTGCAACAACACTCGAAAATTATTTAACCAAAGAAATTGGTTATGTTTCTGTATATGTTTCAGCAGTTTGGACGCGTAGTGACTCAGGGTTCGGTAAAATGTTTAGGATAGATTAGATGCAAATTAGTCATTTCAAGATACAGGGAGTTAAAGTATAAAAAGAAAATAGTTATTGTATTAGTTACTCAAAAGCAAATTGGCAGATTTTGAAAAAAATTGGCGCGCTTGTTCGCAGTAACCGCGATCTTCTTTTAGTTCAATAATAAAAAAATTGTGGGCTCAGATGACCTCCAACTAATATGTAAAATGAGATAAAATAAATCTAGTGAATTTTAATTATCGATTGAAGTAGTCCAGGAATAAGTAGACAAACGGTTTTTATTTTTCAAGAAATACCAATTAGATTACTTACTAGGACGACTTCACGTTAACCAATAACCTTTTTTGATTACACTGCAAGAAGCCCAATAATCGTGTCAACTTTATTAAAATCAGCGAAAATGATTCTGGCTAAATATTAACAAAACGATTTTTTCTAAAAAGCTCCTCATCTAATTTCTCGAAAACGAAGCAAGTTAACACGAGCGAAAAAGTCTTCAAGTCTTGGGCCACTCGGTATGATGTAAATGTAAATGTAAAAAGTTGATAATACCATTTTTTATACGTTTCCACGCAAGTTCCACATCTCGATATGTATATCGTTCCGTATCCGGAAACTTCCGCAAACAGTTCGTAAATCTTTACAAAAAAAATCAGCTTTTTTGAAATTGTTTGTTTGGCTCAAACTGTTTTTGATCAATTTTAATAGAAAAAAACAGAGAAAGGTGATATTCTTGTACCTAATGGAGATGCCCTTTGAAAGAGAAATACATACAACTGATGATTAAATCCAAATATCCACGGAGTACATGTATGATATTACGCAGCATTTATTATGTTCATGTGATCTAACAACTTTTGTTCAATTAATGTTAACCTCTCCCTTTTCGCCTATCTCAATTACATCAGCAATATTGAAAATATCATTTAAACGTTGTAATTTATTGTCAATATGTTCAAAAACGCTTTCCGTAAGTTTCTAAGCTTATGCATCGGAAATATAGAGCGCGTATATATACTTACCATAAATCCTCCAAATTATTATTATTACATCTCAATTCTTTTCTAAACCCTTTAAAGTACTCCTTTTTTTGTTAGTGCCTCAACGCAGCCTATCTCTTCTGTACACCAGTACACCAGTCGTTTACCAAGTTTAACTTAGTTCCAGTCAAAATAATAGCATCACAACTTGAGGCACTCTAACTCAAATAATTGAGCATTTTAAGGGAAATAAAACAAAAATGATGCGCCAAAAAGAGAAAAAATGTATTTCTATAAAATAAAAATATACAGACAGACTATTCCATACATATAAAATATATAAAAATAACCGAAATTCTCCAATATGCGGAAAAATAATATTAAGCGGAAATATAGCGTCAACACAGGATTTTTTCCCTCCTATCGTCAATCGATTTACACAATTTAAATTTCTTTGGCAAATACCCATTAGGCTGTTTTGTATCATAGATGTACAACTTTTGAAGTCCAAACGGGCGGTCAGGGCGAGACTGTGCAATTCGGGCAACGAACTTCCTAATCGAATCTCATTCCGAGACTTTCCTACACACATGCAACAACAAGAAAATTAGTATCGAACGATTTAACGTTAACATAATACAAAACAGACTCCTTTTAACACGCGACAAACAAAATTTCAAAAGTTGTTATTAAGCAGCGTTAGTTTATTAATCGTAACATGCGCCAAACATCCAATAATAAATAAAACTAGATTTTACATATAGATCTTGTTACTTAACTTGCGTCAAACATGTTTAAAAGTCAGGCGTAACACCACAGATTCGAAAACAGGCGATTGCTACTAGTGTTATCATTTCGTGCAAAATTCTGTTGTTTGTTGTTGGGTTGATTATCAAGCATGCACCGATGAAATGAAAATCGATTATTATATGTGGGTACACTTATGGATTTCTCTTGCTTTTGCTATCCAGAGACGTTTTTCTTGATTTCATGACATAAACTAACTAAAATTTATATACATCACGTTGCAGTTTTTCAAACAAAAATTATAAATTTCAATATTTCTATTTCAAACCAAAATAATTATTATTATGAGCTATATTAATGGATTGCAAAATAACCAAAATGTCGACTTTAGAACAGAAAATGTTCATAATCCAAAATGGCAGACTCGTAGGACTTACAGAAAATAGTCAATTTTATATTAAATAATAATGATGCATTTTTATGATTGACCTCTAATTTATCAAAACTGCTTATTTCTTCTGGCGAAATAGATTCTCTACTCCTTCTAATATTCTCTACTTCAAAACTTATTGGTCATTTTCAATAAGTCTTTGCTGTCACTTGTTGTTGATGCCTCCAAAGAAACATCGCAAATTGTCAAATCGGAGCTTCTAGGCGGCCATAAAATAGACCCATTGCAGCCTCACCATGACCCGTCATACTGAAAATACATTTTGGGAATACTGAAGAGGCAATTCTTCCAACTAGTCTGATAAAAATGTTCTCAGCATGTACAAATAAAAATGTTTGTTACAAGTGTTACCAAAAAGTATATTATAAAATCATAAGAGGAAATTAAGCATCAAAGTAAAGTATTGACGGTGGTTCGCAATTCCTAACTGTGGATTTTCATTATTCGACTCCACGGTACCATTTGCACCAAAGGTTGACCCGTGTGAAAACATTCATGTTGTTATTTGAAATTTCGAATGTTTGAGTGAAAATCTGAAACGTGATGAATTTTGAAACTTACAACATTTTGTGTTTAAGCTGTGAAAAATACCATTCAACTCTTTAGTAAATTTTATTTTATATCTTTCTCTTATTGTCCGTTAAAATGCTGTATACAGGATTTTTTAAATATTTAAAACTTTCGCTATGATAGAATCTTGAAACGCCAGAGAAAAACTAGACACATTGTATATATAAACACCATATACTTAAGTAGTATAAGTCATATATATTATAATAATAACATATATAATAATAATAATATATATTATAATAATAATATATAATATAATAATAATATATATTATAATAATAATATTTTAGTCATTAGTATTAAACTTTTTTTTGTAGGTCAATTTCTTTGATCGGTTAATCTTGCACGGACCTCGCTGTACTATCATAGTGGTGTATTTTTTATACATCTCACCAGTAAGTGCAATTTGTAATAATGGCATGTGAAAACTTTTTTATTTTGATAAAAATGTGCGTTAATCAGTTAGTTTTGAGTGAACGGCACTTTTGATTAGGCGGTAAACGAACATTGAGAAGGGGAAGACGTCGTTCAAATGATAAATAACATGCACCATAGTTACTACACCTAAAAAATAAAATTTATATATTCAACGTATAACCAATTATTAACAAAACTAAATTTCAAAATTGATTTCATAGCAGTGTATTAGGCGTGAACGCATTTTATAAAAAATAAATTAGAACTCTAGTCAGATCAAACGCAACTTCAGTTCATAAAAGCATAGCAACATATGGCAACAATACAAACTACCTATTTAAAGCCACAATCCCCAAATCACCAGAAACAAAAAAACTAACGAATTAAATGAAAATTATAGAAAAATAAAATGGGGGAACTGCGGCCATAGTAAACTTTGTACATAAAATATGTTTGTTCCTCCATACTTACTAACTTACCTTCTGATATAACGCCTTTACAAAGTAAAAAGACGGAATTGCTCTTTAATAAAAGAGTATTTAGAACAGTAAGGCTTAACCTTAATTTAACGCATTATAATATTAGTAATAAAATTCTCACTTCGGTTAGAACGACAGTTATTCCATTGTTAACTAGAAAACTTTAATAGACCACATACACATATAACAGGTAAGCACCAAGCGATTAAATTATTATGATACCTACTTTTTAAAAATATGTTTTCAATTCAATTTTGTATTATTTACTTATTTATTTATAAGCAAATCTTTTCATAAAAAGACACAACTGGCCTATAAAAGGAAACCACAAAATATCACAAAAAGATGGTAAGTAGACTAGTTTCAACTATTCCTTACAAGAAAATCCAAATTAACTAAATTACAGTTTTTTATTGCAATACATTAATTGGATTATTTTCAAAAGTATTTTTGATGTTGATTTCCAGTAAGGCCCCACTCTTTTTTTTTTCAAAACAAAGGGCCAAAACGTATAATAATGAAATTAATAATCTAACAGCAGATAGATGTTTACTTTCTTTGAGATCTGTAAAGGCTACATTGTCAAAAGCAAAATTTAGCAATACTATGGGGCAGCTATAAAATGCAATTATTTAGATCTTTGGAAAATTAAACTATGATAATGATGAACGCTCCAAGAATTAGCATTCTGTACAAATTATGCATTCGGAAGGAGGGAATCATATTTGTGGCATTCAAAGTTTCACGAAAAATAGGGTCGCGAAAACAGCAAAGTCCTATTTCTGCTGGTTGAGAAACCCTGTAATTAAAGCCAATTTGGGTCACAGTGTGTATCATTTTTGATCTTTTGTATAACTTGTTCTTTAATAAATAAATAAGCAAAATCTCGGACACTTTATTAACGCACAAATATTTTATTACTTATTTATGAATAAATTTATAGCAAAGTCTCCACACATTCAAATTGTTATAACGAATAATTTGTGTTTGCAAAATATCTTTTAAAAATTTAATATTGTGCCATAGCCGTTATCCTGTATTGTAGCTCTGGGTCGAATCGGTATACTACGAACAAGTTTTCTGGTTTCAGGTGCTTGATTTGGTGACTGAGGAGGGGTAAGCAGTTGCTCAGGAATATTATGTATTAATGCATTCCTGTAACGGTTTAGCCGTATGTTTCAGTATGTTGAAATATGTAACGCCCCTATAGTTCCAATTTTTGAATGTTAGACTTAGGATAGGTAAACATGTCGATCCATAGTACACCATCCATAAAAGTAAAATTTCCTACACCAGATGCTGAACTCATTGGACACAGATGCTCAAGTTTAAGTGCTGTCTTCGTTTTCCTTCACACTCTCGTTCGGCCACCAGATCCAAAAATATTAATTTTTGTTTTTTCAGTGCAAATCACATTTTTCCAAAACTATCTAGGTTTTGTAGCATATTCTTTCGCAAAATCCAATGGTGTCTTTTGTTTCTTCTTGCTATGCGGCTATTGTACCCGGCTCTGTGCAGTCGCTTATAATTTGTGAATTGACCACCTTGTGCCGTGAATGCGCGGTTTATAAGTGTGGCACATGGCATTTGAGTTATACCAAACGTAATGCATACTATACTTTTTCTACTCCTTTCTCTAAAATGCCCAATTATACACCGATCTAGCGTGCAGAAAATATCATTTTACCATGTCAGTTTCATTTTGTAAGGATCCGAGTTACTACGGACATTTCCGACATATTACCACACGGCTTTGGGAGCACTCGGATATTTTTGGAGATATTTTTCCGTTTGTCAATTCAGACGGTCATGTCAGTGAATGTATTCGTGTTATTTTTCAAAAATGCACTCAACAACTAATGGTCGCAGAAAAAGTATAGGATGCAACATGTTTGGCAATTTTTTTATGTCACCCGTTTATTAAATACTCGCTCCGCTGAGTTCCGTTCGTGTCAAATAAACTCATGACTTAAATGACATTGTTTTACTCCCTTCTGTCGAAGGCCCAATTATACACCGATCTAGGGTGCGGAAAGTGTTATTTTACCACGTCAATTTTGTTCCCCATGGAAGCGAGTCACTTCGGACATTTTCGTGATTTTATAGTATGCGATAAGTTTGGTAAACTATATGCGCTGCTCACTTTTGCATAATGTTTTTCTTTATGTATATAATTACCCGTACACAAACTTTGTCACTCTTCCTTATGCAAATAATTGTTTTAAGTGGAATACCCTATATTTCATTTTTTCGTGGATTTTATGTGTTACTATAAAACTTTTTGTTAGATAAAATAGGTTTTTGAATTATTCGAATCTAACGGTAAAATTTGAAATATAAAATACTGTAAAAACCCTACTACATGCTGTTTCGGTTTAACGCTTCATTGTTTATAAATAGTACTACAGTAGCCTGTGGTAGTAGTCTATTTGAGAAAAAAAAGATTAAAAAATGGGTAACAATAACCAACACAAACATAAAGCAACAAAAACCATTCATTAATAACTAAAATGGGAGTGATTAGAAGCCCGGACAACAATAAGCACTATTCTTAAGAATGTAGAAAAAATAGTTTCATCACTAACTGGATTGACGACGAAATTGAACGCAATGAGCCATTAAGCCAATCTAGTATAATGGAAAAGGCAAGAATAATTTTTAATTACATTCAGGTTGAGACAAGTGACACAAGCGAAACTTTCGTTGCAAGTCGAGGATAATTTACTAGATTTAAATCTTAATAAGATACAGATTACACTACATTAAAAACAATAATTGAAAGAGGAAACTATCCCGTTAAGAAAAAAAAAGGCTTAAAACTTCTTCTGGGTGTGCAATGCAAGCCAAGATTTCAAATTAAAACTAGTAGTTACCATTACAAAAACCAAATCAACTTTACCTGTAATTTATGAGTCTAACAAACAATTATAGGTGATTACGAAAATTTTCCAGAATTGGTTGGCTTAAACGCTATAGCGACATTAAAAAATTTAAATTAAGAACACTTATTTCCATCCAAGCAATTTACCCAATTTGCATTTAGGTCGAAGCCAAACACAACTGCCTTAATTCAGACAATGGATCAATGCGTTACATCAAATCAATAAGTGAGTTTTGGGAAAACTACAATATCGTGAATGCGGTGGAAAACAAAAACCTTTCGAGAAATAAGACAACAAAAAAATGTTTGAAAGAAGTAACATTTGGCCAGATTTAACGGTAATTAGCGAAACAAACCAGTTTAGATGAGGTACATATCGAAGAAGTACTGCAAGAAACAACATCAAGTCTTTCTGAGCTGCGATGAGCCCAAGTAATTAGCGGAAGCACACAAAAATATTGAAAGTCATTACTCTGAAGAGGAGCAAAAAGAACTTTCAACAGCGTTTCTAAAAACCAGTTTGACTACAATAACAGAAACTATGAATCAACTTATCGAAAATGACTCAAATTTTGACAGGAGTGCCATTACGAAGGGGTGTAATAAATGCCTTTTCCACTTCTTACAGAGTGCAAAAGGGAAATGCAAATTGTATTAGATACCTTCTTGATAAAGGCGGAAAATTAGAAATACAGAAGCAGCACCCAAAATCATTGTTGTATAATATACATGATTTAAAACATTTTTGATAGATACATCTTCAATATTTATTGAGAAATTTCATTTTTTCCAAATTATTTTTATAATAAAACTATTAAGTTTTAAGCTTTAAGTTTTTATTCGGAAATCATACTACCAGTTAAACTTTTAACTTATGTAAGACCTTAATAAGTGTTCAAATAGGTGGCCTTGCTGTTAAGTACAAATATTTATTCGTTTATGGAGATTAAGTCAGACTTTTAATAATATAAATGGCGCATCAAACATCTCAAATCCTATTTTTTATATCCATCTTAGTGGTCGGCTTTAAGGGGTATACCCTGTGTTTTATGAATTCAATATAAACATCAAAGGGAGGTAACTCGCATGTTCTCGGTGACCACAAAATAGAATCTCCACTCCCCAACAATTTTCCTGAGTATTGTCGATCCAAGAATTACGGGACATTACGATGTGGGGTCCATCATCACCTTGCGGTCACATATTCACCCATTCGATTAAACTTCATTTTTTTAGTGGCTGAGAAATGTATTCATGTAGGAAATGTACATTCGCCTCATCGGAATACAACATACCACAAAAAATTGTTATGTTGATTAATGGAATGACAAAATTGAATTCGTTTTTCAGAATCCCTTTGTAGTAATTCCTTGATGCTGTTCTATTATGTAAGGATACTTTGGAAGTACCGCACAGCGTCGGTCATGTCCTACTACCGATTGCTCACTAAGGGATTTGTTAGAATATTTAATAAAATTTCATTTTCTTTATTGCCTGCTTTTTTATGGAGAAAATTTGCAATATCCAACATTTCCACTTAATAGATGAAACTTACCTATGCCTGAAGTTCGATCTAAATTTTACAAGCTAGGTGGAAACAGGATATTTACAATAACCAAGATTTACCCATCCACATGTCACTCTAAAAAATATCGAGAAACGCCCCTTATCGGAGCCACATTCTCTCTAAAACGATTGCACATAAAAATGTTTTTTTTATCAATGTCTCCGAAACAGGTTGAGAACTATTAGCATGCTGAATATGTGTACCGCCTGTGAAAATGTCAAATTTTGGTCACAGCCGTAACTTTTGAGGGTACAGGGAACAAAAACTGAAATAACTTTTTTGTGTGTTCTCTTTTAGACTTTTTTTATAGAATCGGAAAAGTTGTGATAAATAGGTACGAACTGTCTCCCACAAGGTGACCTATATATTTTTCTCAAAACTGTAACGCTATAGTTCTGTATAGCTACAGTTCTTAACCGAATACTATATATTCCAGAGACTTTTCCTTATTACATTACTTATATCATATTATATTGCGGATTGGCCCTATCCATAAATTATCGACCGGTCAACCAAATTTGGATTCCACATCACACTAGAAAAATTTAACTTATTTAAAACAAAAGAATTAAATAAACAAATAATTGACTGCATATTTAAAAAGACCTAACATTTTACAGGGGCAATCATATCTATATGCAAGTCAAACTCAAGCTTTGAATCCATCGGACAAAGAGCAAGCTATAACAATATCATAAACTTAAGCAAATACTTTTACTACGAATAATGCAAGTAAACATTTTATTTTACATCTAGAAAGATTTAAAGATTGGAATTTTACAATTTACCTTGCCTCCATGTCTCCGTTTGGTTGAGATAATTAATTTTCATCTCGAATTTTTTCTTTTAGTTCTGACAATAAAAGTTCCACTGAACGTCGGATGAGGATTCCTAGGGGATCACGAATTTTTACAGGCAAATTATATTGCAATACTGACAGACAATTTACTACAGGTTAAACACAATGATATGGAGCACTGCCTTGTTCAAGAACTATGTTTTCTATTTACCTTAGCTTCAATTTGATATACGGTCCGTTATTATTGCACACCAAATATTATTTGTTAAATAGAATGTGCAAAAAAAAAATAGACAAAGTAAAATAATTTCAAATCACGAAAATTTCTTAAAACCAAGTCTTATTTGTATCCGATTGCTAATATTACAAGTTAGTCTAATATTTATTTCATGAGTGCTAATTTTTCAACAAGTCGCATAATCTTAGATATTTCCTAAATTATGTAGAGATCAAATAGGTTGATCTGTCGTTTGTTTTTACAGTACACTCGATTAATATCGCCTGGATGTGCCACTTTTGAGAAAAATTAACTTCAAGAATATACGGTTTAGAATGTCTATCTTACTTATTTATGAAAAACTGTAAACTAGGCCTTGAAAGCAAATGAATAGGTTTGCTATTTGTTAATTTCCACATGATGACTGCAAAGACATTCTATTAGGGCAGAAAATTGTCTACACTGCCTCCAAAAGTCCTAACCACGTTGTTTGAACTGGTTGGTAACCTTGTTTAAATGATCATTATAACATTCAGTCTGAATAAGTTTGCATTTTTATTACTTTAAAGATTTCATCTATAATCAAGGTACATTTGATGAGTGCCAAACATTCTATTAGGGCAGGAACCTGACTCGCGTAGGCTATGTCCCAAGGTCCTATTAATTGGTTGGTAATATTGTTTGAATGATAATTATAAAATTCAGTCTAAACAAGTTTGCGTTTTTGTTACTTTTAAGATTCCATCCATTCATTCCATCTAGACTGCCAAAATAATCAAATAAGGCAGGAACCTGACTCGCGTAGGCTGTCTTTAAAAATCCTATTAATTTGTTGCTAACATTGTTTAAATGATAATAACAAGCTTGCGTTTTGGTTACTTTAAAGATTGTGCTTCCACCTTGAATCAAAGTACACCTTGGGGTGAAATAGAAGAAAATGCAAAGAACTGTAAAATGAGAAGTCAATTCAGTTTCGGTGTAATACTTCCTTTTAGTTGGGGTAAAAAATAGAAAACCTTCCATCAATATTTATATTCTGATAATTTATCTTCGTCATAAATCCACCATAAAGTTATCAAAAGCAAGAACTTAGACAATGACGAAAAGTTATTTAGGAAATTAGTGGTTAAAATTCCACACCCAATAGTCTGAGCATATTGTAATCGATATTTCGTCATTGCCTATTTGCTTCGTCCATTTAGCGTTTATGTAATTTTTCACAGTATTTATAACAATGCGACGTCGGTTTTAAAAAATGCACCTTTCTAAATCAGTACCTACACGTTTGGAAATATTTATAACAGATAACTTTTATAGCTATTAATCAATACGAAGTTCCGTTTTCACAAATAAAAGAAATTCTTCATAACTGGAAACACCGTATCCGGGTGATTTGGAAAATGTATGCCAGAAAAATCCCCCGGCCCGTCAGCCGACGTCGGGCTGCCGGGCCCCGCCTCCACCACCCCCACTGTATATGGCCTGTCTGTAACTGTACCTATTGACGATCGGGGACGGGCGTCGTTCCGGTATGGGAGGCGGCACGATGCCGCCCCCTTCCACCACCGTGACGTTATTGCCCGCGACCGCCTCGTCCGCTTCACCGATGCTGTTTTCCGCCAGGCTGCTGGTCACTGGCTCGACGATCGCTGGAGATTGGTACTGGGCTATCCGGGAACGAAGCATATAGGAATAAGTTCGATAGCGTTTGATCTGCAATCAAATATGAACGTGTTTTTTTATATAAGAAACATCAACAGGTTACTATTTATACTATGATTTGCAAATTTTCTTGGGGCCTTTAAATATGACGAAAAATGCTGACTAGGGAACACAAAACCAAAATATTAGCCAGTGTATTGAGTTTTCTCGAGCGATGACGGGAATGACTTTTTAAGTCATATTGTCACAGGCAACTAAGCGAAACGAAACGAAATATTGGTAGTCTCCGTTACACCAAAGTCAAAGCAGCAATCAATGGAATGACGGCATTCATTATCCCTTAAGAAAATGAAATTCAAACAAACAATTTCTGCCCTCAAAATCTTGCGCACTGTGGCTTGGAGCAGAACAGGAGTGTTACTGGTCGATTTTTGGCATCGCGGGGACGCGGTCAGCAGCGTGCTGTGAGACATTAAAAAAACTGTGGCGCGCAATTCAAAACAAAACGTGGCATGCTGAGTGCGGGTGTTGTTTTAATTCACGATACCGTCCGTCCATATACGGCAAATCGAACGCAGGACCTTACCACTTCTTTTGGCTGGGAAGAGTGAATAAATTACTTTGGAAAAATATTTACTTTTCTCATTTCGACTTTTAATCGACTCTATCCATCCATCTGAAACATCTAATGAATTCCGATTTGGAACTGCAAAAACCATAAATTATCGAAACCTCCTAATATTCCAAAGACTAAACACATAGGTCACTAAATTCCTAAACTCTAATCAGGGCATCGTAATTCTAAAAGCAGATAATGATGGTCACAAACACAACTGACTATCAGTAAAAAAATCAATATATTCTTCCAGACGAATCATATCGTCAACTTAAAAAAAAAAACGTTATCTATGGAATGAAACCTTAAATCTACTATTGAAGCTTCTTTTCTATCAGAATCAGTAAAAAAATCTGTCGCCCCTCACGACTTAAAAAATTCCTTGTTTTTACGGACGTAAAGTCCATATCCCTCTCAACTGCCAACATTATTAGACATTGTTATTAACAGAATGTCAAACCTAACATTGGGCCATTCAGTTTACAGAAAATATAAGGACACAGACTGATACCTTAAGGCATTGTTACATCATGATCCGAACCAAAAATCAACCCGAATCACTGAACCCAGAATTAAAACAACTACCATCTGCTCTTCTCTTATAATTTTCACCATAGCCTTCCAAAGAAAATGATTCCGAAAGCAACGCCGCACATGTCACTGGACCTTTCATAAATTGAAAAAATCACTGACAATTTATAAAAAGTTCTTTAAAAAAAAACAATGGTAAAATAAAAAGTTATTACTTCTTTAAAAATATTCGTCAAAGACAAAATTTTTAAGATTTACAATTTACAATTTACAGCATTCCATGCATATATGCCGCAAAGAATACATTGATGAAACTGGACGAAAAATAACAACTAACCTAAAAGAAGATGAAAGAGCCTTAAGACTACGACAAAAATATAATCATGAAACCGGACATCAAATCTTATTTGAATAAACTAAAATTCTTGCATGTAATTCAATTCTTCCACCAAAGAAAAATCCGTGAATCCACAGAAATCTCTAAGTAACCAAACAAGCTTAACCGCGACTCCTTATCTTACCAGTTTCAGTTAAGCTCCGAGGAAGGCAATAGGATGCTTGGCGAAACATCAGCAAGTTCAACTTATCAAGAATCGCCGAAGACGGGATCCAGAAGATGAATAAATGAAGATAAAATAAGAAAATAAAAATGTTCGTACAGACGAAACGGGGCGAATTTTGATATAAATCACTTTTTAAACGCATTTCACCGCCCTGTGTGAAATAAACTCGCTATTGTCCAAGGCTGAAATGCACTCAAGCTTGAATGAACTGAAACAAATTCTTCCTGCTGCCTCAAAAATATCTGAGGTGGTGTGTGGTAAAATGTCAATTTTTCCAATTTCTCTGCTCCTCTCTTCCTCCCCCTCATTGTTGACTTCAAAACCCTGTGTGAATTTTTGCCGACTTCATTCATACCTCCATCTTCTTCTGTCTTGAATATTCAAGGCTGCTAGGCCTTTTCAATATCAACTTTGCCATGCTTTCGAGTGGCCGACTTGCAACCATATATTACTATAGATTTTATAATTGTTGTAATCATCGAAAAAGAAGTTTTGTCATTCCTATTGAGATAAATATATTTGGTTTTGTCATCATTTATTTTTACGGCTATTCTTTGAGCTTCTTTTTCGAACAAAAAAAGTCTTTCAGATGGATCCTGACGTTGCTAATCATATGCACATCGTCCGCGAGTGCCAGGAGTATGCTGGATCCGTCATTAGCTCATTATGGATTATAACCTCAATGTTAACATTCTTAATGGTACACCATTTAACATAACATTGGAATACATTCTAATGTATGTTAAATAATTGAGCTGAAAGAAATCCATCCTGCATGAGCCCATTATTTATGATGATGGGATCAGAGTAGCACTGCCCCACCCTCATCCCATCCTGTATCCTCCGTGCGCATTTTTATCAGAGATATAAGTTTTTGCACTGCGTGTGCCCCATGTGGAATTCCCAGCAGTTTTCCATAATTTGTCTGATTGTGAAGATCTGGTCTATGGTGGCCCTTTTTGGTCTGAACCCACATTGGTAGTCCCCCACATATTTTCAGTATATGGCTTGATTCTTTTCACTAAAATCCTGTGGAGTATCATATAGCATGTATTTAGGTCAGCTCTTCCGCTTTAGTTTGCAACACTTCTTTTTGTCTCCTTTTTTATCGATGGGACTATTACACTTTCCTTCCATTCATTCGTAATCCAAATGCTTTGAATAAGCCTATATAGTGTTTCTCCATCATGTTTTATACACTCAGCAGGTATGTTGTTGCCACCACAGCTTTGTTGTTTTTTAGCTATGTTATCTCTTATAGTATATATAGATGAGGATAGTACTTCTATTTCAGGGGTTTATAAATTCATTGGTTCCATGTCAGTGTTTTCATTTTCGCTGAGTAGTTCATAGGCTAGGATTTCAGTTTGGTTTGTTATCAGTTGTCCAGAATTTTTTGACTTGAAGTTTTCAGTTCTGTGTTTATAATCTGCTTTCTGTTTGGATATCCCGCTAACGCATTCTTTGGCTTTATAGTTTGTAGTCTCTCTTTCGCTTTACGTGCTTCTGTTATTTTTAGTTTTAAATTTTTCTATATTACCTATTGTTGCTGTGGTGGTGGATATGTCAAAATTCATATTACAAATTAAAACTTATTTTTGAATTTAAAAATGCTCTTGCGGCCAATGTTGAATAATTGCTTTCAGAAAGTTTGGTACCGTCTATACCTGCTTATCTTGATATTGTGTATGCTCCTTTTCTTACATATTTCCTTATTGGAATACAGAATGTGAATCTGGGAAGAAGTCTTTCTATTTGTTAAGTTGGTAGATCTGCTGTTGACATTCTCTCTAGCTTTACATTTGCGAAAGTTATTTAGCCAAGAATACATTTATCTCCGTGTGTGTTGGAGGTTTCTTCCAATTTTAAAGATGGATTTAAATGTGCAACAACGACCTTGTATTAAATTTTGCGTTAAAAAAGGGTTTAATGGTGCGCGAACCCTGGAAATGTTGGAAAAGTGTTTCGGCAATGATTCTCTAAAGAAAACGGTTATTTATCAGTGGCACGTGAGGTTCAAAAGTGGTCGTGAATCAATCAGATGATGGCAGGCCATCCACATCGAAAACCGACGATAACATTGATAAAGTAACAGAAATGTTGACCAATCAATCAATCAATCACAAATTAACCATCAGAGATATACCGGAGGACTTAACATTGCTCATGGATCCGTCCAAGACATTTTGGTTAATGATTTGGGTTTGCGTCCTGCGGCAGCAATGTTGGTGCCAAAAGACTTCAATTTCATGCAAAAAAAAAGACCGTGTTGACTTCGCAAAAGAGATGATTTGCGGGGCTAAATCCGATCCCACGATCATCAAAAGGATCATCATTACCGGAGACAAGATATGGGTATATAAGTATGACACGCAATCCAGACATCAGGCAAACGTTCAAAAAATATGCCGTGACCAAAAAAACAACGTCGTTTCAGTCAAAAAACATGCCAATACTCACGGTTTTCCTGAATTTTAAAAGTGTAATACGTCATGACTTTTTATCAGAAGGCCAGAGAGTAAACAGAGATTACTTGGGCGTTATTGGACGTTTGCGTAAAGCAATTCGCCGAAAGAGAATTGTGAGCAGAAAACTCAAACGATTTTGCACCATGATAACGTGCCGTCGTTCGTAATTTTTTGCCAAAAAATACAACAAATATAAACCGAATTCATCTGGTTTGACTCCCTGTAGCTTCTTTCTGTTAAATCGAGTCAAAAAACCACTACGAGGAACGCGTTTCAGTGGCCGAGATGAACATACATACATGGACATACCCAAAACCGAATATAAAAAATTGGAGGATTGGATCAAAAGCTGGCATAAGTGTCGAAGGAGATTACTTTGAAGGTGAATAAACTTTTGGATTAAGGTGATATACCTGATTATCTTGTGGCCCTTTTCTTACAATTTTTAATAAGTATTCAAATGGAGAAGGTGCAGATATGTTCATATGGGGTGCTAGGTGCATAAAGTGTTGCTTCAAAGAAGTACTGCAAGCCAGTTGAACATGTGTTTCAATGATGCCATATTGAAAACTAAAGCATAGTTTTTTAAAAAATATTTTTTATATAACCCTGCTCCAATTTATAACTCAGTACCTTGTTCCAACAACGATTGTAAGCATATATTTAAAAAGCGAATGAAGAATTTTTCGTCCGGTAGATTATCGACTCTATAGTGTATTTTATGAGTCTTTTTTTTATCTTTTTATATATTTATGTTATTGCGGGGTGGTTTATTAAAATACTTTTTATATTATATTTATATTATAATCAAAGCACTCGGCACCATCACTGAAAGTTCAAGGTGGTTGTAGCTTGGAAAAAATATATAAAAATATCCTACATAGAGCGACCCATGAAGAATCGGCAATAATTTCTTCATTTACTTTAGGGGATTCAGGCTAATGTTCTAATTAAACACATTAAACGGTACCTGCATGATCAATATTTTATAATTTTACCCTACCTCGAATGTAAGGTATGTTTCTTTTTCCTTGTAGTTTTGTACGACGAGGGATTTGGAGCCCTTCTCCGGCGCAGACTTCCTGTGCTCGTCGAGCATCATTTCCAGTCTCGTTACTCTCTCCTCGTGATCCGCCAACTGTTCGCGCTGCAAAAATGTCACTTTAATTTACAGCCAGATTATACAGAATTCCCTCGATAATATATTACAAGAATACAGGGTGTCAACAGCATATTCTATTCTAAAAAATAGTTTTCTATATAAATGTACGCCGAGGAACGCCCTCTGATGGACCCCGACAAGGAATGAACCTGAAAATGAGGATTTTATTATTTCTGAAACAGGTTGAGAGAAAGTTTTGAAATTAAATTATTTTATAAATCTAATTATAAATGTCAACTTTTGGTCAGGGGCGTACAGGTAACAAAAACTACAATAACTTTTTTGTGGGTTGACTTTTAGACCTTTTTCTTATAAAATAGGAAAAGTTTTGTTCAGTTACGAGAAATAGGCATGATTGATTGATATCGTTGTCTAAAAAAATGAAAATGCACATCTTACTAGGCTTTGACAGAATTCATAAGATTTTGTTATCAATTTGATTTTGATTGCTCTTTTTTGCTTACATTGTTTCTGAAGTTTTTTAATGCCTGCTAGTGAGCCATTGACAGTGAGAAAATTTACAACTCCGCCTGCGGTGGTGACTGGGTAAACACCGTTGCCGGTCCCAAGCCCGGACAAAGGAGGAGGGTTAAGCGTAGGGCTACAACCCTGCCTTGTAAAAAACCTACTGTTACGAAGCAGAACGACAAGCCTCGGAGCGGGACGGATCAGAATAGACGACGAAAGCAACGAAACAGGAATACGAATTTTGGAACATGGAACGTACTGAGCTGGTTTAGAGCAGGCGCAGCCAAAAGAGCGATACAACAAATGGAGATCTATAAGATGGATGTAGTTGCCCTTCAGGAAATAAGGTGGCCGGAGGAAAGTACTCAGACCATGGGAAAGTACACCATTTTCAATGGCGGAACAAGAGATAACAAACACGAATTTGGAACAGGCTTTGCAGTGAGCGGAAAGATTCTGGGACAGGTAATGAACTTCCGTGCCGTAAATAACATGATATCTACCCTTAGAATTAGAGATAGATGGTACAACTATACACTTATCTCGACGCATGCACCAACCGAAGATAAGGATGAAGAAGTCAAAGACGAGTACTACGAACAACTGGAGCAAATCATAAGTGCGGTACCTAAACAGGACATGTTAATCATTCTGGGAGACCTTAATGCCAAGGTTGGAAGAGAAGAAGCTTTTAGACCACATATTGGAAGACATAGTCTCCATGAGCTATCAAACGACAACGGCCAACGACTGATCAACTTAGCAGCGGCTAATAACCTGAGGATTGCCTCGACAATGTTCCCACACAAGAACATCCACAAAGAGACATGGATATCCAATGATCGGAAAACGCGAAACCAAATAGATCATGTAATAGCAAACGCGAGACACGTTAGGAGCATCATAGATGTGAAGAGCCAAAGAGGGGCGGATGCAGGAACAGATCACTTTCTGGTGCGGGTAAAGGTTCGATCAAGGATTAAAAAAACCATAACAAGTCAAGAAACACCAGCACTAAAAAGGTGGAACACAGATAAACTAAACCAGGATGAAACATGCAGACACGAATACCAAAAAGAGCTGGAAACACAACTACTGAAAAATGTCACCCAAGAGGCGTCGGATGTAGAGGAGCACTGGAAACAGATCAGAACATCAGTAATCAACGCTGCACAAAGAGCCTTAGGCGAGAACACAAAGAATAGAAGAAGAAAAGACTGGTATGATGAAGAAAGCCAGAAGGCTTTAGATACCAAAAACAAGGCCAGAATTCAAATGTTGCAGTGTCCAAGTGACGGAAACGTCCAAAGATTCAACGACCTCAGAGCGGAGGCAAAAAGAAAGATAAGAAGAAAAAAAAGAGAAGCTTACAACAAAACAATAGAGAATGTAGAAAAGGAAGCTGGGCTAACAAACAGCCGGAACTTTTTCAATCAAGTGAAAAGTATAAGGAAAGGTTACACACCAAAGACCAACATTTTAAGAAATGAAAACAACGAGCTCATAACGGATATAAAAGAAGTAATGCAAGCATGGAAACAATTCTTTGAAAACCTGTTAAACATAGATACAGTAACTGGGAACACGAAGAAGCTATACCAAAGTGCGGAGGAGCATGTGCCAGAACCCACGCTAGAGGAGATTAAAAGGGCAATAAACCAATTAAAGAATAACAAGGCCCCGGGTGAGGACTCCATTATGGCGGAATGCATAAAATATGGAGGGGAACATCTAGATACTGCCATACTAGAGCTGTTGAAAAACATATGGAAAACAGAAGCCCTACCAAAGGAGTGGAATGAGGGTACCATCGTCCCCATTCATAAGAAAGGAGACCGGATGGCCTGTAAAAACTATAGAGGAATAACCCTGCTAAATATAACATACAAGGTTCTGTCAAATGTACTAAGAGGACGCATATCCCCATACGCAGAAGACAACTTAGGGGACTACCAATGCGGTTTTCGACCCAAGAGATCAACAACAGATCAAATATTCACCATAAGACAGCTCCTAGAGAAAAGCTGGGAGTTTAACAGAGAGGTTCACCAACTGTTCGTAGATTTCCGCCAAGCATATGATAGCATCACCAGGGAAAGTGTCTGGCAAGCGTTGGAAGGCATAGGGGTACCAAAAAAGATCATAAGGCTAACCAAGATATGCATAGAAAACTCTAAAGCCAAAGTTAGGGTAGAAAAGAACAACACCGAGGCATTCTCCATTAACAATGGCCTAAAACAGGGCGATGGACTTTCACCATTGCTTTTCAACATAGTGCTGCACATGGCCATCAAAGAAGCGAATATTGGCTTGGAAATATTTACAAATAAGGGCCCAGAAATGATTTTGGCATATGCCGATGACATTGATACGGTAGGAAGCAGTACGATTAAAACAAAAGAAATGTTCATGAACATAGAGAAGGAGACCAAGAAGGTAGGACTCATGATCAACGAGGACAAGACCAAATATATGTGGGCCGGACGGAGAGCAGGAAGGGGCAGAATAGGACAGAACATAACCATGGACACCCACAATTTTGAATGCGTAAACCAATTTCAGTACCTAGGAGCAGTTATAACTTCGGATAACGATATCACCAGCGAAATAAAAGCAAGAATACAAAAGGGCAATAAATGTTTTTTCGCCTTGCAGAACCTGTTTAAGTCCCGACTGATATCTAGGAACTCAAAACTACGGATATATTCGGCAGCAATCAAGCCAATCGTAATGTATGGCTCGGAAACATGGACAATGACAAAGCAGAACGAACTAGTGTTAAGACGCTTTGAACGAAGGATGTTGCGGAAAATCTTTGGACCAACAATAGATGAGAGAACGGGTCAATATCGAATAAGAACGAATGCGGAGCTTAACGACATGTACAAAAGACCGAGTTTAGTAAACGAAATAAAAGCACAAAGGCTCAGGTGGGCTGGACACGTGCAGAGATCGCCGAATGAACGTCTTGTAAAGAGGATATGGGAAGAAAACCCAGCAGGAAAGAAACCCTTAGGAAGACCAAGGCTCAGATGGAGGGACAATATCGAAGAGGATGTAAAAATCTTGGGAGTACGGAACTGGAAGGAGGTTGTGTTGGACAGGGACAGATGGAGACGAGTCGTAGATGCAGCTAAGACCCACGAAGGGTTGTGATGCTACGGAAAAAAAAAATTATTTCTGAAGTTTTTTAATGCCTGCTAGTGAGCCATTGACAGTGAGAAAATTTACAAATAACAAAACAGTATGCTAAACATACATACATAATACATACTAAATAATATATTTTTTAAATCCATTTTCCTCAAAAACGGTCCATCCTACCTTTTTTTCCTAACAGAACACAATTTTTCCGATTTTGAAGTTGCTAACTAACCAAAATTTGAAATTTATAATTTTAGAACCAGATTCAGCATAGCTAAATTACTAAAACAAGGGCTTGGCCCACTAATATTGGGTCACCCTGTATAGAGCATCCATAATGGAAGAATGGATTCTCTATTTTTAATTTTTCCCTGTACCTTATTAATTTTTTTATCTATGCCAAATTTTGCAACATTCTGTATGACATATGTTGCAGCTCTCTTGAGCTACCTTTCAGAAAAACATTTTCTAGAAAATTTTGCGAAGAACGTCTATCACGAAAATAGTTCTCTATTTTTCAACTGTTCAATACAAAAATCTGATATTTTGCATTCGCTTTGTTGAAGCCAAATCGTCACACCCGTTCCCAGTAGCCAATTGAAGCACTACAGGAGGGTATTTTAAATGAAATTGTTAGCAAATACACGTGAGCATTGTTAATTTGTTTTTTTTTAATAGATATTAAAGAATGAGATACCAGATTGGCTTGTTGTTATGAATATTAAAAATAGCAGTAGAAATACTGAATATAAATTTTATAAATTTGAGACAGAATATTTTCGAATTTTTGACATAAATAAGTATGCCGTAAAATGCGTGTGTAAAAAAGATCGGTTGTTGACTCTTTTAATGAAAATGGAAACTGGATAAACATTCAGTCCTAGGTGTAGGGTTTACAGAACAACAATTTCAACATTTTTTTATGAGAACTGAAGCAACTAGAAATTTAGATTTGGATTACAAAGTTTTTCCAGCAATAAAAACCGCTTTAGAGGCAAACGGAAAAGAGTGCAAATGGTTATACCACCCTTTCTTGAAAACAAAACTAAAAAAGTATGAGAAACTCAATAAACATACAATGTAGAAACAGATAGGATTCATATGAAAAAAAAAAACATGCAGCGATGAAGAAGGTATAAACTGTTGAATACAATTCCATATTTGTGGTGTTTTAGTTCATGTAAAACCTCCAATTATTTCAAATAGAATAGATCTAGAAAACAAAATTTTATTATTCATTAAAATCTTAAATGGAAACTCCCATTTCATATTACAGATTCGGATTTTACGGCAACACATAGGTTTTGTCTGAAGATGTTTTTTACTATTTTGGTAGATGCCGCTGTAATCACACGTAAAAGTAGTGAAAACAAACATTACATTACTTTTATCGTAATTCTCAGCAAAAACATGGAAAAGTGGTACGCATTATAAGACACTACCATTTGGCAATTACTCCTTTTTTTTATCAAAATCAAAAAATATGAGGTAAACTTTAGTAAAGTCGTGCCAAATGTGGTATCTGGTAAGAGTGGTAAACATGATTAAAATTTCTTCTACGCAGAAACGGCATTTTTATTCACCACTTATAATTTTTTGCGATTGCAGCGCCATCTTCAAACAAAAGGTACATTTGTGTTGTCGTAAAATTCGAAATTTGTAGTAAAAAAATGAAAGTTCAAGGTCAAAAGTGCAAACAGGTTACAACAAGAAAATGCTGTAAGTTCAATGAACTCCATTCAAATTTCGAAACAAAACTCTACCATACATTGTGTGCATAACCTCATGCTTGAATAAACTATTCTATAAAAGATAATGTACAGGGTGTCCGAAATAAGATTCTCAATCCTCAAACGGTACAAAACAGCAGACGTCATGTATTGCGAAATATTGGCACCGGTCACCGTTTCGAGTTGATGTGGCAATATTGAAATGATAATGATAAAAATCGTATCTTCCTATGGCCGCAACCCAATTTTTAAAAGCCTATTTTTATCCGCTCCCCTATACATCTAATGGGCCATTAAGAATGCGGAACTCTGTATATTTATATTCACGATATCGCCTCGATATATGCAGTATATCAAATGTTTAGAAAAACTAATAGAATATTCTTTCCCAACAGTAACCAGAGGTTCAACCTATAAAATATAATATAAAAGTAACAACTAAAAAAAACTCACCAAGTCTAATTTGGTGTGACTGCAGGGCAGAAGCGGTCTTTGGAATTTCTTCTGAGAACCGACAGCCGCTTCCAACGGTGGTGCAGAGAAGCTGGCTGCCACAAAATTGATCGTGTCTATCCAAGATTGTAGCTCCTTCGAATCACTAAACAGAGATATCAAATTTAATAATTAACTCCACTGAAATAAAACCATAAACATCTCAAACCACGTCAAAATCAACATTCACTAGGAAAACTTGGAGATATGCTTCACATTTGATTGTAAATGGGAAATATAGTCAAAGACGGTGTTTTTCTTTTACCTTGTTTAATTGTACCATCCAAACAAAAATAGATGCCAGATGTTAATTGACAACATAAATAATAAAATTCTATTTTCTGTTTTTTGCATCCCTAGTTTTAAATTTAATAAAGTATTTTAAAAATGGAAAGAAAGTAATAATCGCCAATCAATATGAAAAGAAAACAAAATAAAATATCGGACTGTGATGTAGGACTGTAACGAAAGATTTTTATGTGAAAAGTCATATCAAAATTTAGAAAACCTGGATATTTTCTAATGGAACTAGTTCAAAATCTTGCCAAGATGAGTCTGTAAAAAGTGTTTAGAGAAAAATGTTATGTGCCACGCCAAAACGGTTCATTATTCATGCAGGTTGATCAACAGGATTAATTCCAGTTACAAGTTTAATTGCTTCCTTTACTTTAAAAAATTTGGACTATAATGATAATGTGAACTGCAAAATGTTTGAAAAATGGCTAGTAGTTTAATTCATTGGTTAAAGCGACGTGTCCTTATGACTCTTGTTGCGGTATTTGCGATTTCTCTCCATTTATCTCCCTCTGAAATGTATCTCAAGTTTTTATTGTAGCAAATTTTATTTATTTCTGTCAGGCAGTTTGAATTTCCATCTTTCTTTAACTGAGCCTCTAAAAATTATTTCTTCCAGCAGACGCCCTATAAATTCTGTTTCAGTTTTTGTAGTATTGTGTGGCGTAGTGTCCAAGATTTTCTGATATTCTGTTCACTGTAAATGTTGAAATAGGAAAGGTGATACGCTTACACTTCTACGTTTAAGATTTGGGAAGTTTTGTCATCTATTCTAACTACTACAGTGCTGCTTCCATATACACATTTTAATAAAGCACTAGATATTGAGGTGTACCCATATCTAACAGCTTCTCCCAAATCGTTTGCAAATTGACAACAACCAAACATGGATGGTCTGTCATTAAATGTCATAGACAACGCAGCATATCATTCGAGAAGTTTAAATAAGCAACCTACTTTGTCTGGACAGAAAAATAATACTTATGAATTGCTTGGCTTGGCAGATTCAAAATCCTTTACCAAATCTGCTGAAACTGAAATCCTTTCAATAGCACAACAGATTAAAAAAAAAACAAAAATATTCTATTATGATTGTTTTATACATAATTTAGAAAATAAAGAAAACAAGCAAAAATAATGGGAGAAATCATCTAAGTAAGACTGAAGACAAGTCGAAGTGGAAGAGAAATGAAAGAGAAGGTTTTGGATCAAGTTCTGGATACAACAAAGATAATAGAAGATATCAACAACAAATCACTAAAGACGAAAATTAAGAAAAATGAAAAAATTGCTTTAACTGTGGTCAGTTGGGACACAGATCTGCTACTTGTCCTGATAGGTCAAAAGGTCTCAAATGTTTTAAGTGTAGTGAATTTGGTCAAACTGCACTAAGAATCCACAACATTTTTAAAAACTATTAGGAAGTTATGGATCAGAAATTGAGATTTACAAAAGTCATCAACAAATTTACATTGAAAGGTTTTTTCAATGGAAAAAATATTTTTGAACATAGAAGAAAAGAAGAAAAATTAAAACCATTTTGTAAATTACTGCGAAACAGTGGTGGTACTTCTCTGTTGCCTAAAACTAATACATGGTATCCGAAAATATCAACATATCTCTCACTCTTCCACCAAGTTCTTCAAAATTACAAAAAAAAAACAAAATTCCAAATTATTTGCAGCAAAAACTTCATTATACTACATACGTTAAACTGTCGTTTTCGTTTTCTTATCAAATTATATATACAGTTAAACTTCCTGCTGAAACATTACAATCAAAAAAATTAGTTTATCTTTAAAAAGCAATTATTTAATTTTTTAATGAAGTAAATATGCGTAAATTAGAGTCTATCAGCATTTGCCTGTTTAATTAATCTCGCGCATTCTACGATATTTCAAGCGTCTTACATTTTCTCTTATGTTTTCCTTTTGTTTTATCTTCTCAGGGTTCAAGCTAAAGTGTGTAAGCATCTTTTTTTGTATGAATATTTTTTTCAAGGCAAACCAATACTTCGGTTAGTTGGAAGAACAGACATCCATCTTTAATACGGATGAAATGAATCTCTCCCTTTGTAGAATATATTAATATAATTTAATAATTTTAGAATGAAATTCTGTCCCTTTTACGCCTTTTGAACACCAAGTTCAGTGTTGTCGAATAGATAAAAATAGGCAAAGCCCATAGTTGACCCAAAACCCAAATGATAAAAAGCAAAAAAAAATATAATCAAATCAACGGCAATCTGTGAAAGAGACTAAAATATTCGTTGGATCAATCTGCAGTCTCATTGCATAGCTAACCAAGTTTTATTATTCTAAAATAATAAACTTTGATTACCTTGTCTGAAAGAGGTATTCGGCTTGATCGGCAGTCTGCAACCGAAACACGTACTGCTTCTTGGTGTAGTCCTGGGCCTTCGTCGCCAGCGCGTGGTGTACCCGTATGGCGTTGTGCAAACTGTCGCCGCCCATTTGGCCTTTTCGGAATCCATTCTCGTCCTTGTGAAGGTAAAGTACCAGATCGCGAAGCGTGCAGTAAAACATTTTCCAGCTACGCTTGTGGAATGGCGCTAGAAAAACGCAGCAGAGGCCTTCGGAACAGTTTAAGTGTGTATTGCCACATGCATCGCAAATTCTAAAATTGTACCGCTTGATATATGATCCCAGGGCTGTGACATTGTTAATTAAAAATATACAGGGTGTCAAAAACATAGACGGCAATATCCTTGATACAAAAATATGAAGAAAAGTTTTTAAGAACACGATTTTTTTTATAATACCTAAACAAATATTCTGTCGATTTTGTTGAAATTTGGCAATGTTAGATTAAGATGCTAATGTAGCACTCCTTCTTTTATGTGCCCTGTCCGGTCTTCTGAACGTTGGCAAACACCATGTTCGTATATCTTCCATTCCATAAATCTTTTACTATATTTGAGCGTCAGTTCTTTGTTTAGAGAAGAGCCATTCACGAGTTATACTAACTCGGCAACTTTCAGATAGTATAGCGTAGACAGTAGAGGAAAAATTAAAAAAAAAACAAGGAATTAAACGATGCATAAAGATTGAATCCCAAATCCTCATTCGACCTGTGGAAAAAAACGACAGGGAAGACCAAACACTAGGTGGAAGGCAGAAGCGGAAATGGACATAGTAACAATGGGCATCAGCAAATCGAAAAAGAGCACCTGACAAGAATACATGCGAAAATTGACCTCGCCTGCCATGGCCTACTTGGCATACAAGGTTGATTTATTATTATTATAATAAATGGTAAGAATTTTAATAAAACCATACTTTTCACGAACGACGCAGGGGAGGGTATTGTTACCCTTACACTCATGTATGGAGTGACGAAAATTTCCATGCGATAGTGTACACCAACAACAATATTCTTTAAATGTGTGAATGGATATTGTTGACGCCAATTTATCGATAGGAAGTGCCCGTAGTGTTAGAAGTTCAGCTAAACGTACGTAACCACGTAACTTTTATGTAGAATAGAACATTTTAGTATACCTGTCAGAATTCATCTGAAAATAACACCTTTAGTGAAAAGTTCACTGGTTAAATAGCTATTCTGAGTGGATATTTGCAACATTTGGATTTTACAATTTATGTTTTTATTAATCTATAAAACAATCTAAAAATTAGCCTTCTAATAATATTGCCAACAGAATCGAGCGAATATTTGTTTAGATACTGATTTTTTCTCAATTTAACCCCTTGTATCCTGAAAAGTCTGCATTTCCGGATCCATATCTAGAAAAACGTTTTTTCATATTAAAATATCTACTACCTAACTATATATCTACCAATATTTGAAATCCATGACATTCTTATTGGCAATCAGTTTCCAATAATTAACGCACTTAATGCAGATTAAAATATTTTTTAGTAAAACTAATAAGCAAACACTAATTTAATTAAACTACCATATTAAAAAGACCAGCCTATCTCCATGTTCGATAAATGTGCTTTTTTAAAAATGTATTAATGTGCTTTGTGAAGATTTTGTCAGAAAAGCATAACATTTTTCTATGTCAAGCGATATTTCGCAATATAAGAATTTTTCAATACTTGTGCTATACTCTGTTTTTTAATGCGACAGAGTTATACATATATATTGAATAGTAAAAATTAGAATTATAGTTACATTTCGGCAGTTACTGGCAAAGTTCGTATATGAAAATTTTTGAATTTCTTACCGAGAAACGCATTAGTAAAAAATGTGCTTAAAAAAATGAGAAAATTATTACTCTGTGTTCGAAGCTCTTCGCCAGCAAAACTTAACAAATAATTGAAATGTGTTTGAATGTGGCTGAGTTGGACAGTCAACAATTCACCGGCTTCTGCTCGAGTATAAACACGGTCCCATCAGGTCACCAGAAAGAAATGCAGGAAGAAAAGAAACTGCAATAAATCAGGATGAAAACATTGTCATGGCTTAAGGGTTCTTCTCTATCAGAATCCTTAAAAAAGTCGGTCACTACTCATGACTCTAAAATTCCTCGTCACTACGGACTCCCTAAGATTCACAAACCAGAATTACCTCTTCGACCTATTGTCAGCACCATTGGTTCTCTAAAATATTCTCCAGCAAAATATCGAGAGTCTATATTAAAAACCAAGTCAGGGAAAACTGATAGTTTGTCACATCACTATTCGCCCCAAAAATTATCTGTTATCAACTCTCTTGTTAACAGAGCCATACATCTGCTCTCCTTTCTAATATTTTCCATATTAAAGATATACAAAATACACTTTATCACAACCTCCCAATGACAAGGAGTACGAAATCAATCCCTCACTTGCCACTGTTGTCCTTCCTTACATTCGACACATCACTGACCACGTATCAAAAATTCTAAAGAAATATAATCTCAAAACTAGATTTACGACTTGTTCAAAAATCAAAGACAAAATTTGGAACGCCGGGCCGAAAAATATCAACTAAGCTCAAAGAATATGAAAGAGCCTTGAGACTAAGACAGATAAGCTCACCAACAGTTGCCGAATAAAATCGCAAAACTAAAATTCTGGAATGTAATCAATTCTTCTACCAACGAAAAATCCGAGACTCTATAGAAATCTAACCAAACAATCTTAACTGCGATTCAGGTCTTTACTTGTCACTATTATGGGAATCAGTCATCGGAGATAATGTTCATGCCCCTCCTTTAGCCCTGCCCCCTTCAAACAATATATACGCAGGTACAGAGTGGAATGCGAACCAGTTTCAGTTAAGCTCTGAAGAAGCCAACAGGATGATTCCATTCCGTCCACGTATAAGAAGAAATCGTGGAAAATTTTGAAGGAAGTGAACTTTAAAAATAACATTTAATAGAGGAAGACGAAATTATCTGTTCTCGGCGACGATATTTGAGAGCAGTTTCGAAGCGGAAATAGGAATATTTATCATCTGGACAAAACTTGTGATGCTAAATAATAAGGCGTAAATACGCCGGTGTTGGTTACTCGATTCCGCTCGTTCGCCCGCAACTCGTATCAGTTGACATGCTTATACGTTTTTCTTTGTTTAAGGTTCGTACATTATTACTGTCATGCGGTGTTGAGAAAGTTACATACTTCCGTGAACAGGGAGTATACTGATTTTTATCAAATTTCAAAACATGATTGCAGAACAATGATATTGAGCCAAATTTGTCTCGAAATTGTTATTTCTTTATAGCACAAGTTGTTTTTTTGAGGATTTTGGAGATGAGGAATACAATTAAATTCTCTCTTTTCACATAATATGTAGAGGGATTTTACCGTTTTATTAGTTTTTTTTTTTTGAAAAATTATGATATAAGGATTAAAAAAAGAAATTAAATACACTTTTTTCGAGATATTTTCATTGTAATACAGTAACTTCCACTACTAAAAACTGGTCCTAATTGCGAAGTGGTTTATTGTTTGTCCAATTTGGGCCACACTATAAACTAATGATAATATAACAATGATTATTAGTTAACATTTTAAAATTTAGTTGTGTGTTAATTTATTATTTTTTATGTTAAAAACTGCAATTATTTCAATAAGTTTTTGCACGAAAATATACTAAATATATAGCATATAGATAATCGTATAAATCTGAATAAAACTGTTTCATTGAAATTTTTGGTACTATGTGAAGGCTGCGACACTAGATTATCAAAATTATTTATTTATTATGAATTTATGGTGATAGACATCCCCTTTTTATCGAGTACATAAAAGCAGTGTCTATTATAGTTCAGTCAGATTTGTGCCTGTAAAATTTGTGTAAATTGCAAGGCTACGTTGGCCAGCCAGAAGTCACGAACTTAACCCCCTATGAATCTAAATGTATGCAAATCAGGGACAGATCGAAATAAGAAAGAAATGGAGATGATAATGAACATGTTTTGAAGAAAACTTGTGAAACTTGCAATTCAACAATGGAATTTCAACTTAAAACACGACCTGATACTAACATAATTCTCGTTTACTTATTTACTGACAGATCTTTCAAATGTTTACTGCCTGTTTACTACTTTTCCTGTTATTAATTATTCAACGTAGGCAGTCGCGAAATCAGTTGGTCTACATGACAATTTTTATGCAATTTTAAAGCATTGATGTTGAAACCATAATTTTAATCTCTATGTAAATATGTAAAAAAGGGTGCTTCATAAGAAAATTTTAATTTACGGGACACCCTGTATAAAAACTTTTGACATTTTCGAATTCTGCATAAACAGTTGCTTGCTGTTTAAGTGGCAGAGTTTTAACAAACTCCTCCTAGCGACAAAATGATTGCAAATAGTCAATTTTCATTTGAACCCGTATATTCATTCAGAAGCAATTATTGTAATACCATCATTTACCTTCTCCTTGTATTTCTTGTTTCTTGAGAGACAAGTTTTTCATGTATTTAATAGATTACTACATTCCAAATTCAATCAAAGCGTGGTTTAATTTTAAAAAGGAAAAAACTTTCAAAATACCCTAATTTCTTATTAAATTTGGTGTATTTTCTGCGGAAATGCAATGAACGATTAATTCATTCATTTTGGTCCAGAGTGGTCAATTTAAGATGCTATTATACCTTATCTCAATAAGTACGAGACTGAGAAAAAAAAGTTAAATACAAAAAGTGGAAGTAGTTAGTAATTAATGCTTGAGCTATTTATGGCGAAATATATATGACCATCAAAAACAAAATTTTTCGAATTCAAAAAACTCTTTTTTTATAGGAAACACCATCTATTTAGCACTTTTAGTGGGTTTGGGTTTTATTTCTTTATCATTTCATATATACAGCTTTTATTATAAAAAAACGGAATTTTAGAAGCAATCCCCAAATTTAAGATTGGAAAACATCCCAAAGAAGCCATTCAAGTAGTTACATTTTTCTCTCTAAACCGTTGTTTCACTAACTTTGATGCATATTTCAGATCATTCTTCTGTTGAAGTTCTTTTTTCTAATATATGTTTTTATATTTTGCATTCATCTTGCGCAAAACGGCCGTCTTACATATTCTTTACCATCCGATGCAAACAGGGAAAATTTGCTTTCATGACTCCTAACAACCATTTTCCTCTGGACCAAAACAGATAAGTTTTGGCAAACTCGATTCGGGTCTTTCTATTCTTCTTTGACAGAAACGGTTTTTTGCAGGAACTATTCCATGAAGACCTCCGATGATTTAACCGCTTCTTACAGTTCTGCGGATTATTTCAATGTCAAACTGTTCACAGATTTCGTTTTATATTTGTCTGGATGATTTTCAGGGATCTATTTTCGTCATCCTAAACAGTTTTATCAGTTCTTGAAGTAGTTTTACATTTCTCACACCACTAACACTTGTATGTTTGGTAATATTTTCGTTTTAAAGATTTTGCACTTATTGAATTTTTCCCTATTGTGAATAAATTTTACAAGTACAAGTAAAACCAAATAACTTTTGTTTCTATTTTTTTTACAGGTTCTGAGATAAAATATCATCCCATAATAAACAGATCACTCTGTACATTCAATATATCGTTAATGACGGAAACAGTGCTGCAAAAAAGCTACAAAGTATTAGACACTGAAAAAAATATGGCAAGTAATGGCTAAAAGGTCTATTTTGCGATAAGAAATTAATTATTTCATTATAAATTCTTCAACTAATGATTTGAGGAGTTTGTGAGAAAAGAGAAAAAGTACTCACTTCGTTTGGCGTTCGCCTCGTAGCAGCATTTTCGCATCACGTAGCCTTTTTTGTATTCCACGGCACTTGCCGCACTGGGAACGTCCAAGAAAGGATTGCCGGTTATATTTATTGAGTCGTTGGTCCTCGCGTGAGACTGCAAATGCGCGTCCTCTGTTTCTTCATCCCTAAACACACACATGGAACTATAAATTGCCTTCGATGCGCATGTGGACGAAATCTCGGCCAAAAATCCAGCGCCAATAACATATTTTTAAAAAAATGTAGAATATGGAAAAAAGGTATATGATGAATAAAACATACACTTTCGAAGTATTTTTTCCAAACAATTCTCCTTCTAGGACCTATCTTTAATAATAACAAAAACACTGCAAATATTTTGAAAAATGACTACCTATATCACAGCTAAATGCCCCAAAGTTCTAAAAATGGTCAATTGTCATTCCTATGGTATTTAATATATTCAATCCAAAAAATTTAATAAAAAATCCTGGAATCCCACCCCAACATAAAAATTACCAAATTTTTAGCCAACCACATTTCGGACTATAATCAAAACATCAGTTTTAAATAACCATTCAAAGGAGAAAAAAAATCGAATCAATAAGACAAAGTTACTAATACAGGGTGTTTCAAAACACATGCGAAAAAATTAAAATTTTAATTTTAATTTATTTAAAACCAAGGGAACTTTGTTATATAAACGTTGGGTCAAAAGGTAATTAATATATATTTTTATTTTTTATCTTAACAAAAATAGCACAATAAAATATTAGGGAAGTATTACAATTATAAAAACACTTCTTTAATTTTAAGAGTGGAGAAACTGGAAAATAGGTCATTATTCAATCAATGTCATAAAAAATATATCTTTTTATTATATGTTAATTTTGGAAATAATACTTATTTCGAATATCAATTTCCAAATATAAAATGAAATCTAAAGCAATAAGTGCCACTTAAGGCGTTTCATATTATTGCAAAGAATGACAAATTTAATAACAAATTTACTATCTAATTATTTAATTCTTCGATAAGAAGGGTTTTCATTGAATAATGGTAAATTACAATAATGTTTTTGTTTTGCCTTAGGTATCTTAGTTATCTGTTATTTTTATTTCGGTTACATTGTTTAAATAACCCATGAAAGATGACGACTACGTCATAATGATCACACCAGCAAATGCCAGAAAAATACGCTTGGTGTTATTGCCAACGTAATCGTCATCTTTCCTGAATACTATTATATTCATAGTTTTCTAGTTAACTGATTTTTTAACATTTATTTGCATTTTCTTACTGGTTGTTTATATTTTTGGTAGAAGAAGAGCAATACTATTTATAAATATTCTGGATTCCTCCTGCGTGGGTTGTTGATACATTGAACTTGCTGATGTTTCGCCAATCGTCCTGTTGGCTTATTAAGAGATTAGCTGAAACTGAGGGGCGGAGCTAAAGCAGGGGTATGAATATTGATTTAAGGTTGTGTTCCATAGATGACGTATGATCTTTTTTGTCGGGATTACATTTTACAGATTTTAGAGCAATCCGTTAAGGCTTGGAATATTAGATTTAGGAGGTTTAGACTTTTTCAATATTTTTGCGGCTTCATTTCGATTTTAATTTGCTGTTTAAGATGGTAGTTCGTTTAGGATAGACTCGACAAGTGAAATGATTTCCCCTTTTGTGATATTACGTGGGGCAAGGACGAAGTTTGAACCTTTTGCAAGAACTGATTTACCACAGTGTTTGGTGGTTAAGAAGAGTTTGATGGTTTTTCTACCATTGAGGTTAGTTTGTTAAACTTTTGAATGAGATTTTGAGTAGAAAATAAACGAAGATTTTTTTTGAAATAGTATCGAACTCGGATGGAGATAAGGTGGAAGCAATTTCAAGAGACAAACAGAAGAATAATTTGGCCTACTTCTATTAGGGTACTTATTTCTGTCAGGGTGTGATGAATTCTTTCCCGAAGTAAAGCAAAACTAGATTTGGGAAGAATTTTATAAGCAGATGAGGTTTTGACATGATGGGATATTTTAAGAAAATTGGGGATGACATTATGGTATCTACGATGTGATAAAAAAAGTCGGTCAGTTTCAGTCGGTAATCTTATATCTTTCTGCTATTGCGCTTGATGTCCTCTCCATAAAGGCTTGTTAATTTTTCATAGAAACTTCCACAGGCTACTGTAATGCTATTTACAAATCTTTTTGATTTCTTCTACGTCGGTTGTTAATGAATCGAACTTGCTGACGTTTTGCCAGGCTTGTTCAGAGCTTAACTGAAGCAACCAATCTTAACTGGGACCCACCAATATCATCAATATATAATGAACATAGTCATCCAAGACAATGTTCATGCTCCTCCTTTATTCCTCGGGTATTCCTCAAACAATATATAAGCAGGTACAGAGTATAATGTGAGCCAGTTTTAGTAAATAGTATTACACTAGCCTGTGGAAGTTTCTTTAACAAATTAAGTATGGTACCAACATTTTAGTAAACATTTAATAATTAAAAATAATACCACTTACAAGAAATGTCAACTTTGAACTGACGTACGATTGAAAATATTCAAAATAAAAGGATAACTAGGGTAGGGTATAATAGCCCGGTAACCATGTAAAGGGTTAATAAAGTTTGCCTGAAATTCTCAGGTTGGCATTTCTAATTTTTGGTAGGGATTTCCCCGAAATTTGCCTACGTGGGCCAGTTCATTTACTTACAAAGCCCACTCCAGCGGTTGACTCTTGATGGCGTGGTACAAATGTTTGAGCACCTCACGCGGAAAGTTCTCGCACTCGTTCAGCCCCGCGAGATTCTCGATGAATTCGTTGCAGGTCATTTTGCGTCCGATATTTTGCCCGTGCAAATCGGTATTGAGCAGCATTATGGCGCACGTTAATGTATGTACGGCATCTGGAATTGATTGGCATTAGTAACTTTTTAGAAGAAACGCACAGATAAAGTCAGTACATGTTGCGAGCACTCAAGTGCTCATATTGAGCACAAAAAAGCAGAAGAAAAGTCAGTACATGTTTCGGGCACCCAAGTCTTCATCTTGAGCTAGCGCCTAAAATAACATAATTTTAGTGTGAAGGAAGTAACCAACCAACTAGTAAACCGGAGAACTAAAGGTTAACCTGACTTACAAAATATTAAATCTTCAAGCAAAAAGGAGTTAAGTGTATGGATATCGCGGTTTAGAAATAAATTGCAGGTTAGTGGGTGAAATTTAGAAGTAGGCGCGGAAGATCATTCCTATCTCTATGGAAATATTATAGCCACCTGAGACGCATCAATTTCGACCGTACTAGGGAAACCATATTATCAATAGCTACATAATTCCAAGATCGGTTAAATTAACAAAAATTCCTTGTTCTTTTAATTTTATCACCCAAATAGTTACTCTAAAAATGGGCGTCCAAATAATGTGTTAAAGTAATATATCCCGATGAGATTAAAACAAACAATTTAACAATATTTTTCCAATATACGGCGTGATTTATTAGTATGTTATTTTATATTTTTTATATATTTTTAATTGGAATACCTCGTATATTATACTCAATCACCCAATGTAGGGTGTTATGGTGTGTACTGAGTGTTTTCGGATTTATGGCAATTTTTTAGTAAAGAATGCCTTGTGTTTAATACCCTACATTTTTGCCATTTGCGGTTTCCAACAGCTGTAACTTTATTTTCCAACAATTTTATAATGTGCTACAGTCATTTATTGTATGTGTCTTGAAAATAGTTAGAAAAAAAACAAATAGAACACCCTGTATATTATATTCCCATAATTCTCTTTCAATTTTATTAAGGATTCCCTATACCAAAACTTAGTATATTTTGAGGTATGTACATTTTTACAAACCAAATACGGAAGATTTTCAAACCGTGCGAAAATGTCAAAAACGATTAACAAAAAAATAAATATCACCAGAACGTAATACGAATTAAGTATAATTCTTTCAGATAATAGCATTCGTTACATGCTAATACAGAATTTAATGAGAAGAAAATATATTAAATTCGAGATTTAAACAAAAATGAAATGATGAACTGCGCAACTTTGGAAAACAATTTAAAACAATACACTAACTATGATATTAAATATACAATATGTCAAAAAAAAACTAGAAACTAAGAACAAAAGTGCAAACAAAAAAGAACAGTTTAATTAAGTGTGTTTAAACGATTGGGCAATATTCGCTAGCATTTCATGACTAACACTTTAAAAGGTTTTCGCTTAACTTCTGTTTTATGTTCTCTTTTGTTGTGAGGGCAGTTTTATAAAGCTCGTTTTTACCATAGCCACACAGAAAATAGTCCATCTTTGTTAGATGAGGATCACCGTTGAGAAAATAAATTATTTAAATAGTTCCTAACTTGATGGACATGGTGTGCAGGAGCTTCATCATGAAGGAACCACATTCTCTGCCTCACTGCGTTTGGAATAGTTCTTAACAAATTTCGCAAAATTTGTTCTAAAAAGTGTAAATAAACTTACACATTCACTATATTATCAATAAAATGCGACCCCACGACGGTATTTTTTATTATACCACATCAAATATTTAAAGACTATTTTTACTGCCTCACAAAATTAAAAATTTACCTATTTAATTTTTATTGGCTTATTGCGATATTTCTCATAATTTAACAAATTTTCGGAGTTTGGTTCGTAAAAATGTGTATAAAAAACTAAGTTTAGCTATGCTTTATAAAAGAGCATTAATGGGAGTAATTAGTTTTTTATTTTTTCACGAAAATTAATATTTTTCATTTTGACTCGCCCTGTATAAACGATTCGAACTAACTTCAATGAGTGTACTGTCGTGTTGGAGGCTTTTCGTAATAAAAGAGAACTCCACTAAAAGTCCTTTATTTAATCTGCGTCATGAGGTTCGGACATAAGCGCGCGAGATACCGGGCCGAGAGTCCCACATTCTAACCTTCAAGACCATAGAATATGAACATCACAGACCACCGAAAACCCTGATGCAACATGTACCACTTTATAAAATTGTTGGCATAATAAAATTACAGCTGTCAGAAATGGAATCAAAAATTCTGTGTTAAATATAAGTAATTTTTTACGAACAAATGGCCATATTCCGAAAACACTCATCATATTGTGTGATTGAGTATAAAAGGTAGTTTCTATTAATGCTGTAATTTATGGGGTGCCATTTAAAAAATATAAGTTTGAATTAGTCTTATACTTAATCTTAACTTTTATATTTAACATTTTTCTATAGAACAAATAATAGATGAGATATTTGAGACACTATTTATTGAGACGTAATATAGATTAAATGTTTTGCTATTCGTATGAGCTCTGAATAATAATAAAGCAAAGATCATAGACTGCCGACCCAACAAAATCCTATTTCTTCATATGAAAACGTAATTTTTAATTTTCCCAGAACTTAGTTAAGATATGTTGTAACGGATATCTTGTAAAATTAAATAGTTTTAAAAAAAGCCAGTCATCCCGAGTAGTTAATTCTGGGCATACATAATAATTTTATTACCAAAAACAAGGTTTCTGCATAACTATAGGTGAACATAACCCTATTAAAAATTTTAGGTTAAATCTTGAAATGTAACAAACAATAAGAAATGTCTAATTTAAAAAAATATGAGACTCCTTAAATCTAACTCATTTTCGTTAGTTAGCTATCTGCCTTTGAATTATTTTTATAATTTGTATTTTTTTAAAATCTGAACTGTTCCCTCGCATTTGAAGTACCCGGTATCCCTGTAAAAGCAACGAGGTACAGTATTAGGGAAACGGACAATCCTTGAAATATCAAACAATGTAAATCAGCCAAGAGAAAATGTAGAAGTACTATTTAAAGCTATTAATTTTATCAGAAAATTTCTGTGAGTCTCCGTCGTTGCCCTAGCCCACTAGAGAGAGGATTTTAAAATTTCGTTTTTAATTTTACAATTTTCCAAAAAACTTGATTTGTTATCGCTATTTCCCAACTTTTGCTGATAAAAAATCTTTCGATATTCAGCGAGTTAAACAATGTACCGACATGTTTCTGACTTGTACGCGTCTCGGTATTGAATGTTATTTGCACAAAGTGTACATAAAATCTTAATTTGCAATAGATAATGTCTATGTTTGCCACTAGGAGGCGGGGGATACCACCCAGCGCGCCAATACCGAAGTGACCGCCAGACAGGAAGGTGTGTTGACGGTGCTAGAGCAAGAACAGTCCTCACGAAGGTTTCTATTAGTGTTGTGTTAATCGTTCCTTTTACGAGAATCGAATCAATCAATGACCGATTTCGAAAAGGACCAAATCATTTCAATCAATCGTTCATTTCAACACTTTTTGATGCCAACATACGCGGCAATAGTCACTGAATCCGAACAGTCCGAACGACCGATTCAGATTCATTTGAATTTGAATTATTGTTGTGTCTATATGTTATGTTTTCTGTTCTAGTTAGTATAATATTTAGCTGTGTTTTGCTTTTTATAGAATCATGATTTTATCAAAATAGGTGCTACATATTGGGTTGTACCATTAATACATTAATTTGTTTAAACTAAATACCTGTGTGGAAATAGATATTTCATTCAATATTCAATTCAACATATAAGCAATCTACCAATCGATGTCATATACTATAGAATAATTATAACAATACTCCCACCATTCCTTTTCCGTGGCCTGTGTGAGTCACGCATTTAAATCTTAAACCATTCAAATGAATCGTATTCCGGCGAATTCGATTTGTTTTGGTATAGTCGGTCGATCGGTCGTCATGTATTTGGTCACTTCAGAACGGCAACGAGAGCGAACAAGGTGATCGAATTGTTACGAACAAGCGGGATTGACACAACTCTAGTTTCAATACAGACTGACAATACAGAAAGCCTTAAATTCCCTTTGAAAAAGGACCAAAAGTATTCTAATGGGGGGAACAGTTCAAGAAATGTAGATATGATCATATGCTTTGGCGTTCCTCTCTATTATATAAAACAGATACAAAAAAAGTTTAATAAAGCCTGTCGGTTAAGGCGTCTGACTACAAATCAGATTCTCTATCGCAGAGTGGGTTCGAAACCTATCTACTGCAAATTATTTGCTATTTCTCTTTCTAGACATGTATCTAGGAATTAAGTCAAGACGACGGTACAGGGTGTTTCAAAAAACGTGTGCCTCCGCTCAAGGGGAGATTTGTCACATAAAAATAAGACTTGCCCACTGCCGTGTCTATGGATCCGCGCCCCGACGACGTTTTTTTATTTGAAATCAAAATTAAGAAGACTGTATAATGCCTCTTTAATAAGATAAATGCAATCTTATTTATCTCTATTAATTCAACCCTATTCCGCAAAAAATCTGTCCTCCCATGTCCTGATCTGAAAGATGTCATTCTTATTGAGTGAAAGAGTTGGAAACTGAAACTTTTGTACAAGATTCTCCTATACCTTTTCTCAATAAGTATCACATCGAGGAAAAACAGTTTTTTTATGGAACAAGCTGTATTTAGTACTTTTGGGTTTTCGATTTAATTCTTAATTGAAACCTATATAACATCCTATATAAAAACTTGTTTTTTTTACATTAATTAATTGAATTCAATAAATAAATATATTAAATAAATAAATAAAACTTATTACTAATTGTTTTTGTCGATTTTATATTGAATTTAAGTAACTAATGATTTTAAAAAAATAGGTAGAATAGGATATTATATAGTTTTAGTTAGATTTAAAATAAAATACACGAGTTCTGCAAAAAAGAGTTTCTTTTAATTAGAAAAAACATTTTTTCATTGTCAGCTACCCTGTGTAACATATTTTTGCCTTAGATAGCTCATAATAAAAATTCCCAATTTTAGTTATTAAGTGTAAAAACACATTTTTCCAAAGACCTATTATTTCCGCAAAAAAAAGTTCATTTTTCCCAAAAACTGCTCAAAATTTCGTATGCCATGTAGTAACAAGAAATACTCAAAATAAAGCGAATAATTAGACTTTTTTAAAACATTTCTAGCATTTCATTTAAAAAAATAAAGTTCAACGGAACACCTTGTGCATAAAAAACACTATAAATAGTAGAACACTATAAAAATACTTTTTGTATTTAACTTTTTTCTTCAGTGTCGTATTTATTGAGATAAGGTATAGGATCATCTTAATTGGACCACCCTGTACGTAAGTGTTTTAGCAATTTGTTGCGTTTATAAAAGTTGACGTGTTTCTTCGTTACTGTTGTTCCCATTATTGGGCGGGAAGCAACTAGAATTTATCAAGACGTTTAAAACTTACATGGGTCAGATGAAAATCCGCATTTACCTAAGAAGAGTAGAAAAATCGCAGTATCCATTTCTTCTAAATATTTGGGTTGGTATTATTAAAAAAGAACTACATCGGCTGGAAGCATGCGTCATAGTTAAATTTTGTGAGGAATTATCTGCCCGCCTGTATTAGTGAGAAATAGAATGTGGTTCCAACACGATGATTCGCGCATTTTGCTATTCATGTTAGGCAGTATTTTTGCGAAGCATATGGTTATCGATGGATTGGTCACAGAGGTCCAGTAGCATGGCCACCAAGATCCCCTGACTTGAATACTTCAGACATTTAAGGGAACTTGATTATAAGAAACTGGTACAAAGGCTTGAAGAACTGTTAGAACGCATTTGTTAAAATCCTCGTATTTGTGTCGGGGTAAAAAGATCTTTGCGCCGACAAATGAGGGCATGTAATGAAACTGCAGGTAGCCATTTCCATCATCTACTGCATTTAAATTTACAAACGTTTTGATGATACTTAGTTTAAATTATATTCAATACCGTAAATAACACAACATAAATGCATTTCTAATTAAAGAATTCTAAATCGAGAAACCTTCCAGAGGTAGTTTGTAACCGCGCAAATATTTTTAAAAAAATATTGCAGCAATACCCCATACGCATAAAATTGATCAAACTTCTTTTGTAGTAAAATGTGTAAATTGTTTGAATAACTTTTACGCTCCAAATTTGATTCATCGTTTGTATAAATTTGGAATAAAAATTCCTTAACAAACTGCAGCAACGAAACGAAGCAAAATCGTTTTACGTGAGGGATGTTCCTTCCAGCGATTGCACATGTTTTTGTATATCGTAAGCTTGAACATCTCGAAAAGCTTTTCCTGATACCTGATAACCTTATTGGTTGTTTTTGGTTAGGTTGACGTATCCTATCCTACATATCCTACTTTATTAATTGGAAGGGATATGCAAGACCAGCCACAGATCAAACTTTCGCAGCACTGATTTATAAGGGGTTTATGAGAACATTAACTTTTATAACGGTTTTTATAGTTTTGTAAGAAAATCATCAGTGTTACAAGTTTTGTGAGACGTTACTTTATTTTTAAAACATATGGTGTCGTTACTTCAAGTTTTAAAAAAATGTTTTTGTAGAGTTCTTAAAAACCTTTTTATAAAAATTTTTTTCTTAGGGTTTTATAGCTCACTTCATAAAAACATTTAAATTCAAAGTCCAGTAATAAACTTTTCCATGCAACAGGAGGCTATTATGTTTTTGGGGATACATTTTCTTTAAAACGTCACAAGCTAAAAAAATATTGCCAAAGAATGAAATATAGCAGCAGCCTTTATATAAACTGCATTTAAACTAGTGATAATATAGGTACTATTACTAGGTACTAGGTACTTGAAAGCCCATATAACTATATATTTTTTAAAAAGCGAACATGGTGAACGCATTTTTCTAGATAGCAGTCATTTTTTTTAATGACATAAATGGCTTCATAAAAAAGAAGAAAATATCGCATTTCAAGCAATATTAATTAAAAATATACGATTAAAAAATTTAAATTGCAGAAAGAATCATGACGTAATTTCAGAGTTTCTGAGTTGTTCACTGGATAGCATGAATATCTTGTATAGCAAAACCTAATAGGTGCTTCCAACTAGAACGATCGCCAACGATCAGACGGACGGTCCCGGATGAAATAGAACAATCTAAAATCTCGTTCACGTGATGATTCGATCAACTTACCTTGGGAGTTGAAGGAGCCCGGGTTGCAATCCAAATACCATTTGGAGAAGTGCACCAGCACGCGTTCCCGCTCCTGAGTTTCGCCCGTCAACGAAAACTGCTTAAGAAACTTTCTTAAAGCTATATCCAAGGTGTCGTTCTCAAAATTGAAATATTTGAGGTACTCCTCAGCCACCGCTCTGCTAAAGTCATTGCTGCAAACAAATCGGTTAGTAGAACGCTAATATTTGCTTATCAGTGTCTACTTTTTGCTGAGGTGTCTGGACACGTCCGATTTTTTGAATCCATCGAGACTGTAAAGTCTCTTTGCCAACCTAATGGCGGATGGCATGTCGACCGCCTTGGGAGAGTAATGAAAACTATGCAAACTTTCCACGTCGCTCTCATCTTCGGAAGATAACGGAGAAGATTTCTTCTCCTCGTCCCTTTTGTCTTCATCGACGCACTATAGCATAAACGTAACATTGGAAACACCATCTAAACATTTATAAAGTGACTATAAAAGATCGTACTTTTTTACATTTGCATGACGAGTACATAAATACAAATCAACATTTCTCACGAAACCTACAGACTGAAGGGCAAAACGAAAACCGGAGTTGTTGAGTGTATTAAAAAGGGTACGGGGTACGAGTTCAAATGTACTATTAAAAATAATTATAATTTTATTTTACAATACGTCTACGGATGGAGTACATGAGAAGACAAATAGACTAAAAAGTGAAAGATATGGAAAAGTTTTTCTATATCAAAGTTTTTCCCTTCTGTAAAATACCTCATTATACACCGATCGTGCGAAAAGTATCATTTTACCACGCGAGTTTCGTTTCCCACAAACTTCGGACATTTTCGGGAATATTACCGCACGCACCATGGGCCAGAGTCTACGCAAAATGTTGAAAAATAGCAAAATATAAACGTGAGAAACAATAAACCATTTCTGTGTATAATAATCAAGTAGGCTTTGGAGTACGCCAAAACAGTCGAACCTCTGTAATCAGTTGTCATGGAGTTAAGAATACTCGCTGCAAAATCTGACAAGTTTGTTAGTTATCAGACGTCGCTGTTATATTTTCAAAAAAATTTGGATAAATTTTTGTGTAAATTTAAAAATACTGGTTTTTTTGAGAACCTTAGAGGAAAAGATTTTGCTGGTAAGTTCGCTCTTTATTAACTTAACTTAGATTCTATTTAGCCCTGTTGGTAGCCGAATGCTTTCAATAAGAAAAGGAAGGTGTAGAATTTTTATAAAAATTTTTTTGTTCAGCTTTCCTTGAAATGTCTAAATATTCTCTGTCAAGATATAGATTCCGAATCCTTTATTTAAGCCTAGGTATACTATTCTCTAAAAAAAAATATAAGTAGCTGCTACTTTTTGAGAAAACTATTTATCTCTACTACTAAATTTATTGTCACTCTTATAGAAGATTAGTTTATACACTTATATACGAGTGATTTTTAAAGTACGAGCGTAGCGATTGCATGTTTACAGTTTTGCATTGCACCAACTGTGTGGTCTGTGCTTGCTTGTCCGTTACAACCACCATAAATTACAATTAATAGCGAGACTATACAGGGTGTTTGGATAAAGGTGATAAGCGCATGTATTTCGTTAAAGGTAACTAAGGCGTAGTGGTTTGGTTAGGGAGGAAGCGCAAGAGAAATGGCTGCAAATTAGACTTCGACTGGACACCCTGTACTATAAGAAAGCTAACAGGAACTATTTGTTGCCCTGCAATTAAGTTATGAATACAAAAGTTACTTAAATGAGTTTAATTTCTGTTTTCTTGTTTTTTAATCATTCATTTCTAATTTTGAAGACATGCCAATAATGTAGGCCTTCTTCTATAAGCAAATGAAAGCCATATGAAAGGCTTTTAATAGGGAAAATTCAAAATCTTGCAAACGGCAAGGCTTAGATAGAGGATATTATATATGAAATATATCTAAAGTTCCTATGAATTGAAACATCAGCACCGACAACTCCTGAAAGCAAAACGGAGTGTGTTTAAACATCGAGGTTCATTTATTGAATTAAATAAACATATGCACAGAAAAGTTATAGTATTATAGATATACTTCGTTTCTTCTCGAAAAGATGTGTGCTTAATACTGGTGTGTGAAACTTTGTAGGTTATGTAGTTCTGTTCTAGGTTTTTACAGTTATTTTTAACTTTAAATAACGCCTCACCGGTGCTGGGCCCTCGAAATGTATAGACAATTACGACAATGGGCCTAAAGTTGGTACAGTCGATTTTTTAAAGATTTGGATTTAGAGGGAAAGTGGATTGTGGCAATAAAACGAAATAACTTTACACCTAGTAATATTCAAATGTTGACTACATGTTGTCCAGTGTTATATATTATAATTATAATTATTGTAGGTATCTGAATGTACCTTCAAAGTGATTTAATTCAAAGGGAAACTAAATTTGCAAAGCTAGAAGCTTCTTTGAAAATTTCCAGATTTCAGGTTTCTTTCATTCTTGTTGGTGAAATCCTGCTTTTTATAGGTGCAATTCAAGTAGGCTACCTGGATGTCCTTCATTTTTAAGTAAAGTTGATGTCATTCGTCGACATCTTCAGACCGAAAACGGAGAACAATTGAATGTCGAGAAATAGAAAGCGCTATCGGTAGATGAAAGTTTGGATGTAGCAAATAGGCATAATGCAACAATACAATTTCTAGCTACGTGAAATGAGTGGTCGACAATAAAAGGGAGAAGAAGCTTGAGCCAGTTTTATTGAAATGAACCATCTGAAACATACCCAAATATGAAGTTATCTATGTTTTTGTCACAAAAATTGAAATACAGAAGGGTTTTGGGGAATGTCATTAAAAAAATATTCACAATCAACAAAAAAATATGCCTAAATTAAAGGGATTTTAAACTACAAAACAAATAACGCATTTTTTGGTTCTTTTGTATTTTATAAATAGTACGTACTTACGTTTTAGCTGTAATCGCATTCGTTATTAAAATGTAAATTTTTGAGCAGAAATCAAATTCGTCAGAACAGTTATTGAGCTTTTTATTTAAAGGACCACTATCAAACAAAAACGTATCCTTAAAAACCAAAAGAAATCAAAAATATAAACGATAAAGTTAAATCCCAGGTTAGTTTGTTTACATATTTCGGTCGACCTGGGATGACTCGTAAAGATTTGCAGCATTTCAAAAATCTATGAGTGATTTTAATGTACCAAATTTTGCGGGAACTAAGTTCAATAAAAAGCAAATTCTTAAGAACTTTTGATATGTGGTCAGTAATGTTTTCAATCTAAATAAGGACCACAGTCGCAAGTGTGGAGTTGCTTGAGAAGGTATTTATTTGGGAGGTTGCGGTCAAGTGTATTTTGTACTGGAAGGTGTGATACATCCAATGTGGGAAAGTATTCGAGAAAAGAGCAGGCAGATGTTTTAATTCTGGCTCAGTTGATTCGGGTTGACATAGTTATACGACTTTATAAACAAGAGAGTTGATAACACAGGCCAACAATTTTTAAGTTGATTACGATCTGACATTTGATTCTGTATAATTCAGACCTCCTAAATTTAAATCTGATGAGCATTTTCCTCTGTCAAAAAAGGTTTTTTACCAGCATTAAAATAACTAATAAACGAATTTCACGGTTGTTTTAAATGTTATTTTTAGTAGTACAAGAACAAAAACCGAATTAAAAAAATCAAAATAAAATGACAAAGACTCAAACAATGGTTAAGACCATTTGTTTTCGCAACATTTCGCCCTTTTGACCGAGAAACTCCGTTTAGTGATTTTTTTAACGACTAACAGTGATCTGCCATCATTGCAACGTATCTTGGTGGAACGTCTCATTTTGCTCCTCACTCACGACACCAATATTTTCAAGTAGTCCAGATGTGAGCGTAAAAAGTGCAGTAAATAAAAATCATGCAACCTTTTCAGATTCGATAATGGTATTCACGAAGTCTTCATCTTTCATTAATCACCTTATCTGAGGACCTACAAAAATTCCTTCCTTTAATTCTGCATCTGAGACAGCGGAAATTTTTCCACATAGGTATTGAAAACATGCTTCGCCTTGATTTAAAAATTTTTCGTGATTCAATCGTGAAGAATATTTTTTGATCCTTGATCTCTTTGATTATTTTGACTATTATTATTATTATTTTTTAAACAGAGGCGTAATTTTGGGTGTACAAAACGTATCTGGAATATTTTTAGTTTTGGCATTTTAAAAAGAAATTTGCATAATGCTCACTAACCTGACCAAACGACTACCTACAACAAACGCAATTACAGGATAAAGAGGCTTTCTTGATGTTTTGACTACATCGTTGGGAATGCCATATATATATTTTATATAGCTCCAATTTTTAGAATGTTGTTACGTTATTAATACAATAAATATGACGCCTCAAAAATTAATTAAAAAATGTTGCCTGATAGAGACAAAAAAACATAACTTTTCTATTAGTTTAGTCCTTATAACTCCAAATGTATGAAAAAATGCCAAATCACAAAATCTTTGTTGGCGTGTGTAACCGATGACTTGTGGGCCGCATAGTGATGTGACTATGTACTAATGTGTCTGTGTGTGTAGGTTTTTTGTAAACTGTGTATAGAGATAAAATGGTTAAGAAAATCTCAGAGGGGTCATCAACGTGGCGTCTCCATGAAACGCGGAGCGTTTCTTGTTTGGTGTTTGTATGTACCATTTATAGCTGTAACCAATATGCATTCTTTGAAGTTTTAAAAGTTATTTATGTTAAACTGTTAGTTGGGTCTTCTGGTAGCGGATAAAATAACTTTTGTTGTTTTTGTTGAAAGCAATGTTAGATACCACAGTTGTCAGTTTTAATTAATTAATCAATCAATACACTGAGCTCACTAACCTGTTGGGCTTCCAAATGCGCATCGCCTAAAGTCTGTGCGCCGAGAAATTGTTTTTTCTCAGGCCCCCTCACCTGTATCACGATTCTGTGATCTCCGCTGGCGGAGACTGACCCGGTATCCGCCGAGGAGTATCGTTGTCTGTTTCTCGGTTCTGACACCAAGAGAGTACTGTCGCTGTCGCTGTGATCGCTGACCTCCATGACGCAATCCTGGATACCGACAATATCATCGTCGTGGTAGTCCGGACTCGAAATGTTCGATATAGCTTCAAAAAGTAAGAAAACATGAAAACAATATAAATATATACAGGGTGTTGTTATTGAAATGACATAAAAGTAGTTCGAAAAATAGACGGATGTATTCCAGCACAATTCAACAAAATACAACTAGACTAACTAAACTTAAAATTTCCAGAAAAATATCAGTTGACCATTACGAATAACACAGGTCTTGTTTTTCATATTGGAGAAAATTCTAATATCTTGTAACTAAAAGGCTATATAAACAGAACAATATAATAATGAACTTTTATTCATTCAATTTGATTTTTAATACTACATTTTTGTTGTATTTTAACACAAATTACAGTTCTGCAGTTGGTGAACATTGTTCTGATAAGAGAGAGAGCCTTTTGAGGTTTTTTTGAAATGTGACAAAGCTTTTTGCTTAAGTGAATCGGAATGGTTACTGTACACTTTACTGATTTCAAACGAAAATGATGTTTTACAAAATTTATGAAAAAGTCTTATTGGCGGAGTTTTTTTTTTTACTTTTGAAAGAACGATTATTTGATCAATCAACAATACTAGATATATCGTCGCTGATCATAGCCATGGTCAATAAATAGTTCGCTGGTGAAAATATATATTTAATTCAGTATCACATGCACAATATCCTGGTTTGCAATATCTAATAAGTGAGTTCAGTTTATACGTGTAAAAAATAAGGAGAGGTCCTAAAATTGATCCCTGGGCTATTCCGGATATAATATCTCTAGAATGCGAAAGATATTTGACTACCTGGGTTCTTCCCCACCAAAAAACTATGACCAAGATTCAAATCGTATCAAAAGCTTTATAAAGTGTAATAACACAAGCGCTGTAAGTTGTATTAGATCTACTGCTTTACATATATAATTGGTCATATTTAAAAGTGGTAAAATATCCTTGGTTTCCAAAAATTTTCGACCTTGCAAAATACCCAATTTTATAGTTTCCTGACAAGATAAAAAAATTGTTTATTGAATTGACATCAGATAAATGCTACTGTATTACAGTTCCCCTTTTTCCGATATTAAGTGACTTCAGAGTTGCCCACGTTTGCTTAACTCCCTCGCATCTTATGCTCGAAATATGCCTTTTTCTCATGTCTACAGGCTATAGTTGTAGAATTGCGTAATATTTTATAGTACTCACGCTCGGCTTCTCTTCTAAATCTCTTCCACTTTGACTTAGCCTTATCTGTCAAGGTCATCAAATATCGCAAATTGTTAGTAAGCCGCGGCTTGTATGGTTTATGCTTTTTAATTATGCATGTTTATCCGGTAAAGAAGTCTATCTTTCCATTTGGATCAGGAATGTTGTAAACTTGATCAAACACTGTTGCCCTAAGTTCAAGGAAAAAATGTTCTTCATTCATATTATTAAAATCTCTGATTAGCTTCAATGTAGAAGTGTTGTTATTTTTCTCCAATTTTAGAGAACAGAAAATTAAATCATCATCCGATAAATGATCCGCTGATATCACCCCCGATTTTTTAATTAAATTTGTATTTGAAACTAAAATACAATCCAACAATACAACATTTAGTCTAGTCTGCACGCGTAGGCTTATTGAATATTTGCTTCATTGCTTCAGGATTCAAGAACAGAATTGAATTTGTACAAAGGATCATTGTGTGTAAGAAAATCAACATTGAAGTCACCGAAGCAAAAACTTCATCCACAGCATTTTTTTATTTTAAACTTTATACTTATCTGTACAACAAAAAAATTGAATTGTATTTTTAAGATATATACAGACACCAGCCCCTCTGCGAGTTTGGAAGTCCAAGTCATCATTCGCTCTTTCATTATTTAACCAGGGCTCAGTTATGCAGGACATATCGTAACCGTTATATTAAATGACATCTGTCAAATCTATAAAATTGGGAAACATTGACTTAATATCAATATGACCAAATAAATAATTTTTATTATCCACAATTCAATAATTTCCGTGTCTTTAATTACGGGACCTACAAAATAAGAAAAAACTAAGAAATATAAACATTACGAGCATGAAATTTTATTCACAAACAGGAAAAAAATCAATCAATTAATTGTATTTTTAGGATGTATACAGACGCCACTCCTTCTGCGAGTTCAAGCGAATAAAGATGATATAGATCAATTGAAATTTTCATCATTTAGCCAGGACTCAGTTATGCAGGACCTATCGTAATCGTTATATTTAATGACATCTTTCAAACCTACTTGGGAAACAGTGATCTAATATTAATATGACCAAATCAAATATTTTAATTCGTCATAATCCAATAATTTCTTTGTCTTTAATTACAGGACCTACAAAATAAAATAAAAACTAAATATTATGCATATGAAATTTCAATCACAAACCGGGAAACAAATTATGAACGAAATAAGGACGATTAAATTCAATATAAGGTCATCAGTCACTTGGCCATAGAAATTTATTTTTGAATTTATACTTTATCCTTCCTTCCGATGCGCGTTTTTGGACTGTTGATGCTCTTCCTTTTTCTTCTGACTTGCGGCTTTCTGTTTTGAGATCTTGCCGGTACTTTCTGTGAGACCTCAGTTTCTTCTGTATCAGAGTCAGTAAAACTTGACTGTATTTCTGACTCCAAAGATTGGCCAATTGCATAACCGAATACAAAACGTCGCCAATTCTTAAACTACCTTTCGTAATTTTTGCCTCAAGAATTTGTTCCTGAGATGCCCAAGGTGGTCACACCGTTCCATGCACATGCGGTAAAGAATACATTGGAGACACCGGACGAAAAATATCAACCAGGCTCAAAGAACATGAAAGAGCCTTAAGACTAAGACAAATAAACTCATCAGCAGTTGCCGAACACAATCACAAACCCGGTCTTAAAATTTTATTCGATAAAACTAAAATTTATGAATGTAATCAATTTTTCTACCAACGAAAAATCCGAGAGTCTATAGAAATCGATAAGCAACCTAGCAATCTTACCCACGACTCAGGTCTTTACCTATCACGAATATGGGAATCAGTCGTCCGAGACAGTGTTTATGCCCCTTATTTAGCTCCGTCCCCCTCAAACAATATATAACAAGGTACAGAGTAAAATGCGAGCCAGATTCAAGCCCTGAAGAAGCCAACAGGATTGGCGAAACCTTAGCAAGTCGAGATTCTGAAAGAATTCCGATTGGCAACACACCAGCTTGTGCTATGTCCGCACCATGTAGCAAAATCATGTGGATACAAATAAATCTTAGCAATTTCATTAGAAAATTTCCGGAAGACTTCAACGTCAATTGCGTAACCACATGACATCGTTTTCGGCGAGCCTCCCGTCAGCCCTTTATCGATACCTGTGATGATGCTAAACTGACATTCTGACCATATTTAACTCAACTATCTGTTGGAAAAATGTTTCATATTTGTTCATTGACTTTCTCGATCTCCTGTTTGAGAAAAGGTATATTTTCTTTAGTAAATAGGAGTCTAATTGGCCAACAAAATCTTGTTGAAGTTGGACGAGGATTCTGCCTAGCAGCTATAGCATCCCCAACATTCATGTGTAACAGAACCAGACAAACCGCATACATACATATATTCGTCGGTCTTTGTTTAATTATTTTCTATGAATTTCTGTATATATGTCGCGTAATCGGAACTTCCATCACAACCCGGCGTTATTTTGCTATTTTTAATGGAGTAGTCAATTTGAGGTGTTCCATTACATCTTCCTGAACTTCAATAATTCTTCAGACAGTATGATCGACGAGGCCTTCTAACGTTACTTCGGCAGAAACGTCTGTTACAGAAACGAATGACTCATCGGGATAGCTTTTGTTTTTACCTTCTTTCAGAACTGCAGCAGCATTGCGCTTACCCGACTTATACAAACTTCAATGTGTAGCAAGGATTAACTCTTCGGTTGTGTGTTGCTTGACGAGAGGATTTCCTTTGAAAAGTTTCAATTGTTTCCTTAAGTCAATGAAATTCTTCGAAGTTCTCCCAAGCTTCGATGGTCCCAGTTTCAGTCAAGCTCTGAAGAAGTCAACAGGATGATTGGCGAAACGTCGGCAATTTCGACTTAGCAAAAACCGACGCAGGAGGAATCCAGAAGTTTTGCAAAAAGTATTAAAGTTAATATTATTTAAATTACCAAAGCAAGTTTTGAATTATCACTTGCACAAAGAAATCAATTGTTTTAAACTGATGATAGATATGGGATTAATTCTGTGCGAGCTCCAACAAGTTATAATTCGCCAAGTTTAAATTTATTTTTTTCGATTATTTGACGGTTAATCGTTTTGATTTGACTGACGTTAGGCGAGCTGATTATTTCAGGTTAATTGCCACATGTAATGTTAGGCAAATTAACCGATTCAATTTTTGTGTTTTTGCGCACTAATTCTGCACCCTAATTACCCACTGTGGAACGGTTCGCGAGGAATTGAATTTCGAGATTGGAGCAGATTTCTAGTGGCCGTTTTTTTTGTGGAGGGAATGTACTAAAGGGCAAATTCTCGAAAACGCTGTGTTTTTCCGCATTCCATCACCCTGTCCTATGATTTAAAAAAAAGTAACGAAACTAGAGTAATTAAAAATTATGGCGAGATTATAGGCTGTAACTAGAGCCCCCTGATAAAATAAAAATTAATCTAATCGCATTCGTCATCTCGTGAAACTCGAATCCAAGTTTTCAAATCGTTATTTCAAAAACAGAAAAATACCAATTTCAAGAACTAAACTCATCTATTACAATTACAAATCTACGGTTTTCTAATGTTAATATGTTAACAGTAAGTTTTTCAATTTGCAAAGTTTCTTCTCAAAAATTTCTTAAAGTATTATGTATTAAGTGTCGCGATAGTTACTGGAAGCCACTCATTGTACCTATGAAAATAGATTAAGCCTTTATCAACATCAACAAGGTTAGAAACATGCTCTTTGTACAAATATTAAAAAACTAAACGATTTCCCAACAAAATTTTCATTTTTTCATAAAGGGCAGTACTACAAGGCAAAGAATTTACATACGCGTTGATTCTATTTTGATTAAAACTAAAAAGGTTGTGCGATAACTCGTTTGTTGACGTTGTGACTCGGAGTTTATTTAGGATTATCAACGACACTGTTTAATCGCAATATCGTACAATATAATGTAAGCAAAGTTACCAAAATTAAAGAAAATCTGAAACCATAAACATTGTTGAATCATGTGCGGTGTGTAGAAATTTTTAATGTATCATTTCTCGACAATAGCGATCCACGAATCAGTACAATGATGAAAGATGTCCTCTCCATAAATGCATGATTTTTCAAAGAAACTTCCACAGGCTACTGCAATACTATTTAAAAAACGTCTGCATTCCTCCTGCGGCGTTGACGCCCCTCCTTTAACTCCACCCCCTCAAACAATATCTAAGCAGGTACAGAATAGAATTAGAGCCAGTTTTATACACACCAGCAAGTTCGATACATCAACAATCAACGCAGAAGGAATCCAGAAATTTTGTTAATGGTATACGATAATGCTAATATTTTTTACACAGCATTGAATTTCGAACTATTAAAATGAAAAATTACAGAGTGTTCCACTTGAAAAAAAAATCACCAATCAAATTTGTCAAAATGGTACACTCTGTACACCTTTACTAAATGTATTCAAGAACGGCTTTAGATAGCTTCGTGGTAATAGTATATTATGCAACAAGCGCGGTAAACAGCATTTGACTCACGAGTTTATTTGACACGAACGGAGCGAGTGCTTAATAAACGAGTCAGTTAAAAAGTTTACCAAACGTGTTGCACACTATACTTTTTCTAGGACCGTTAGTTTTTCGGTACATTTCCGCAAAACAACATCAATACATTCACTGACATGACTGTCAGAATTGATAAACGTCAAAATTCAAAGCGTGGGAAATATCTCCGAAAACATCCGATTGCTTCCAAATCCGTGATGTAAAATCCCGGAAATGTCCGAAGTGGCTCGGATTCATGGGAAACGAAACTGACGTGGTAAAATGACGCTTCCCGCACGCTAGATCGGTGGGTAATTAGGTAGAGTAGAAAAAAGGTATTCCCTGATTGATTGATATTGAGTAATTTCATGTTAAAAAAAGTGCTGCCTGAAATATTTTACAGAAAATATCAAATACCTCAGAAACTGCTTATTTTAGATATGGGGAAACCTAAAAAAATTTCAGAATTTTATTTAGAATAAAGAAATACAGTAACATCCAAACATAAGAAAACAAATACTGTAAATTTAAAAGATGCACTAGCTACTCATTCAGAATATAAAATCAGTCCTTGACATAAGTCTATATAGCGGGTGACACAAGAAAGTGGGAACACTCTTTTAAACGGCTTAAGATAACGATTTAAAATTTGGAAGGGTTAATATAGGGTGAATGTCCAATTTTTTACAAATATGTAGTCAATGGTTGCACTGTCGGTTTGAGTGAAAACGACAGTAACTTTCAAATTTTAAATGGTAAAACCTATATTTTCTTGCATTTTTGGATTTAGGAGATCGTTCTACGTAGGATAGGATGGTTTTTCTCGTCTTTTTTTTAATTTTTATTTAATTTTTAAAATTGTGTTAGTGGATCACCTGATCATGGGAAAAACTGTAAATAAAACGTTTCTTTACTTGTTTTATGGCAAATAGCATTTAATGTAATGAACTGAATTTTTTAGGATAACCTAGTTTTTTCAAATGGCACCGTAGTCGGAACAAAAACTTTTTTTGACACCAAAATTTTCAAAATCCGTTAAAAAATAAGCTCACAGGAAGGAAAAAGCCAGATAAGTAAATACATTTTTATAAAAACAAAATATTACGTAGGTGGCTTTGCTTATATTCATTATTAATTGTCAAGCTGGTAAGATTAAAAATGCAGAAGAAACTCTCGACAAGCTCATGCGGTGGAAAGAAAAAAACAGATAGTATTTAAAAAAAAATTCAAGAGTGTTTCTTCTTAGATTCAACGATCAGAATTTTTTGTTGAAAGTGTTTTATTATATTAACATACGGGGATAAAGTCAAAAACTAACATAAGTATTGTATGTATACATACGTTATAAGCTACAAGCCCTTTTTACCGGAAACTCAGAAGAACAAGAGTATAGAATTTTTTTCTTTTCAAATCTGTTAGTGTTTGATTTTGATACTTTGAAAAACTGTTAGAAATAATGTCAGTAGAACCGATTTGAATACCACGTGTGTTACTGTAACTCAAGTTCAATAAACAATGAAAGTACGAGAAATCAATGTCAACGTTCGTTGTGTACCGTGTGTCAAAAATTTATCACCACCATGGAAGTGTAATGGCAGTTGTTCAATCAATAGATGATGGATTTAACAAATCAGCAACAAAGTCTGGAATTTGGCAAAAATATTTTCGTATTGGCTGCTAATAACGACAAAAAATATCACTTAGAACGGCATCTTCCAATATATCCACACACAAGGATTTATTTCTATTACTATTATTTATTTATATTTCTGATGATTTCTGATTAAATGAAAAATCCAAATTAGTTCCGGCCATCTAGAAATATTCAGAACAAGTGTTGTACATTAAAAGTTGCGATAGTTTTGCTTATTTTGCAGTGCCATATAATTGTAGAAAATACATTTTTCGGGTTTGGGAAATCTCTGGCTCAAAACTAGATTGGCATTTTTTTCGGCATTGTGCGTAACATATACATTAGAAGTTTTTATTCAACAAAAAATGTTTACCTTCCGAGACGCTGAAGTCGTGTTGATGTTGCTGGTGCGGCCCATTGGAAAGGGGGTACGGGAAGCGACGCGAGCCAGAATGACTCGACATCACCGAGGAAGACACTGAAGTGGGTGAGTTAGGTGAGCCCGAGAGCAATGGGCTCGACGACGCTGACGTGTTGCTGTGCGATGAGCTGCTGCCATTAGATAACGTGTGACCCAACTTCTGAAGCTCGGACACTGGCGCGTTGTAGGTCCATACAATTCTGAAATAATGTTTCTCTAAACAAATTTTGGAATTTTTAAAACGCAGTTTGTACCGCAAAAAAATGATTACTGGTAAAAGTAAACCATAGAAAATTTTACTTTTTATAAAACTTCTGGATTCCTCCTGCGTCGGTTTTTGTTGATAGAATTTTAGTTTTTAGTTTAGCAGTTTCAGTCAACCGACGCAGGAGCAATCCAGAAGTTTTATAAGTATTACAGTAGCCTGTGGAAGTTTCTTTGAAAAATTAACAAGCCTTTATGGAGAGCACATCAAGAGGAAAAGCTTAAAGTTAGAAGATCACCGACTGAAACTGGTAAGATTAATCTGTATACTGACTTTTTGTTACGTTGTAGAGACTATAACGTCAGCCCCAATTTTCTTACTTAATAGACTCTTCTGTCTCGACATCTTGAAATTACTTCCATCTTGTCTCCATCTGATTTCGATACCCTTTCAAACATGATTCATTACAAAGCTTTAAAGCTCCGTTTGTCTTCTACCCAGAATCACATTCAGAAATTTTTAAAACATAACGTCAACACTACGAAAAAAATCAAAGTCTTCTCAACTACCAAACACTGTGATAAATGTATCACGCACCAACTTTCGGAAACGGAAAAATCAATTCTTTCAAAAAGTTCCAACTTTGTCCTTGCCCCTGGTATTATTCCAAAAGAGGAAATAATTTCAAATGTCGAATCTATATTAAATAAACTACCATCTCAAACAGCTAAGGAAATTCGAATTGAAACCACAAAAATCCTCAAAAAATCAAATATTGCAAAGCCTGAACTTCTTCTTCTTCTTAAAGTGCCGGTCCTCTGTGGACGTTGGCTATCACGTTGGTCCATATTACTTTGTTTACTGCGGATCTGAATAGGGCTGTTGATGTCATTCCAGTCCATGCACGTAGGTTGCGCAGCCACGATATTCGTCTGCGTCCTGCCGATCGTCGACCCTCTATTTTCCCTTGTAAGATGAGTTGGAGTAACTGGTATTTCTCATTGCGCATAATGTGTCCAAAGTATTCCAGTTTTCTGCGTTTGATGTTTGCTAGGAATTCCATTTCTCCTCCGATGCGCTCAATGACCGTTTTATTTGTCACATGATGTACCCACGAAATTCTGAGGATGCGGCGGTAGCACCACATCTCGAAGGCATCTATACGTTTGCACGAGGCATCGGTAAGGGTCCATGCTTCTGTTCCATAAAGGAGGACCGAGAGAACATAACAGTTCAGGACCCTTATTCTAGTGCGGACGCTGAGGGATAGGTTACAGAGTATGTTTCTCATTTTGTTAAATGTGCTTCTTGCTTTTTCGATTCGGCACTTTATTTCTCGAGAGTGGTCCCAATCTTTGTTCAAAGTACAGCCCAGGTCTCTGCTGTTTTGATGGCTTCGTTGTTTGCAGTAAACTGTAGGTTTCCAATATCGTTTTTACTGATAATTAATATTTTTGTTTTTTTACAGTTTATCTTCATACCGTATCCTTCGCATGCAGTCGCCACTCGGTCCACAAGTCTCTGAAGCCCCTCGGCAGTGTCGGCCACAAGAACGGTATCATCCGCATATCTCAAGTTGTTTATAATTCGACCATTTACTACAAGTCCGTCCTCAGTATCATCCAATGCTTCCTTGAATAGATGTTCTGAATACACGTTAAACAGGAGAGGCGACAGTATGCAGCCCTGGCGCACTCCCCTTCCAACGCTAAATTCTGCTGACGTTGTGTTTTCTACTCGAACCATAGCCTTTTGTTGTAAGTATAGTTTTGCTAGGATCTCCGTGTCTCTGTTGTCCATTCCTGATTCTCGTAGCACTGCGATGAGCTTATCGTGCCGAACCCTGTCGAAAGCCCTCTCGAAGTCTATGAAACAAGTAAAAACGTCTGTATTGACGTCCCGTGCTCGTTGGATCAGCACTTGTATGGCGAACAAGGCTTCTCTAGTGCCAAGTCCTCTCCTGAAGCCAAACTGATTAGCACTTATGTTCTCGTCGAGTCGTTTGTAAATTCGTGCTTGTATTATATTGAGGAAGGCCTTTAAAGCATGACTCATCAGGCGGGATAAATGTTGACATCAGCCAATCTTTTGGCAGTTGGCCATCTATATAGATTTTGTTAAAAAGGGTGGTTATCAGTTTTATTTGTTCGGAGTCCAGTAGCTTCAGGACTTCTCCATGTATTTGATCTGGCCCAGGGCTTTTGTTGTTTTTTAACCTTTTGATAGCTGCTTCCACTTCTTCTTGTGTGATGGTAGGTCCTTCAGTGTTAACCGTTGCAGCCACATTGTCTACGTTTTCCTCTCCAAAGAGTTTCTGCATATATTCTTTCCATCTTGCTAGTTTTTTGTCGACTTCGGTGATGGTGTTGTTGTCTGAGTCGAGGAGAACTCCTGTATTCCGTCTTTGGAATCGTCCTGCTGCTTCTTTTATTTTCTTGTGGAGGTTAAAACTATCGTGTTTTGCCTGCAGTATCTCAATTTCAGCACATTTTTCTTGCAGCCACTGTTCCTTGGTCTCTTTGATCTTTCTCAGAACTCTCCGATGCACTTCTCGGTATAAGCCTGAACGCATTGCCCTAAAATCTCTAAAATCTAACCCAGACATCGTAGTCCTAAAAGCAGATAAAGGAAATGTGGTCATGAACACAGATGAATATCAGGACAAGATTCAAGATATTCTTACAGACGCACCATATCGTCAACTTAAAAAAGATCCTATGTCATCAATGGAACGCAACCTTAAATCTGGTAGTAAGACTTCTTCTCTATCAGACTCCGTGAAAAAATCTGTCACCCCTCATGACTCCAAAATTCTTCGTCTCTACGGACTCCCAAAGATTAACAAACCAGGAATTACCTTTCAATTTTCGATTTTTTATTTTTGACCAAGATTTGAAGCTCCGTGCGACGTTGAGATCAAAACATACCAATCTTAAAAGTGTGAATTAACTACTAAAACCACAAGCGTTGGTTAGTTTGGTTAAAAGAATTATCACATGCAAGAATTTTACTTTTATGGAATAAAATTTTATATCCGGTTTCGTGATTTTCTTCGACAACTGCTGATGAGTTTAGTTGTCTTAGTATTAAGACTCTTTCATGTTCTTTGAGCCTAGTTGATATTTTTCGTCGACTTTCGCCAATGTACTCTTTACCGCATATGGATATATGAGATGCCCAGGTGTTTACAGCATTCCATGCACATGCGGCAAAGAATGCATTGCAGAAACCGGAAGAAAAATATCAACTGGGCTCAAAAAACATGAAAAAGCTTTAAGACTAAGACAAATAAACTCATCAGCAGTGGCGGAACACAATCATGAAACCGGACATAAAATTTTATTCGATAAAACAAAAATTCTTGCAAGTAATCAATTCTTCAACCAACAAAAAACAAGAGAACAATCTTAACCTCAGGTCTTTACCTGTCAGCAATATCAGAATCAGTCATCCGAGACAGTGTTTATGCCCCTCATTTAGCTCCACTCCCCTAAAACGATATGTAAGCAGGTACAAAGTAAAATGCGAACCAGTTTCAGTCATCTCTGAAGAAGCCAACAGAATGATTGGCGAAACTTTAGCAATTTCGACTCATCAAGAATCGACGCAGGAAGAATCCAGAAGTTTTGGAAAAAGTGTTGAAATTAAAGTTGTTTATTTTAAAATTTTTGGTTTATTTACCTTTACCTTTAACAATAAAATGATGAGATATGAAATATGGTTAGAATATTCACAAGAAACCAATTGAAAAAGAAATTGACACCAATGTGTATATGAATTTTTAGTCCAAAAAATTACAATTTCTGTCTCTGTATATATATTTAATTTTTAACACACCTATATTTTGTCTTCTAAACTAGAATGTATTACATCTTATTCTTAACATAACTTATACAATATAAATAAACATAGTAGAACAGTAGAAAAAATCCATGAAGATATTATTGACCAGATTGTCAATTTAAATAGGTCGTAGTGCGCCGGTTCCAATTTTCTGTATCATTAAAAATCTTTAACTAATAAGTGCTTACTGCTGTAGGTCTGTAAAGAATCGAAAAATCCACAAAATCACTGTTTTCAATGTTCGATTGCTTTCATCCCCTAAACTTCCAATTTACAATTCAATTTCTTTTTCAAAGAAACTTCCACAGGCTATTGTAATACTTTTTACAAAACTTTTGGATTCCTCCTGCGTCGGTTTTTGCTGAGTAGAACTTGCTGACGTTTCGCCAATCATACTGTTGGCTTCTTCAGAGCTTGACTAAAAACAATTCCATGTCCAAACAGTCAAACATATCTCGTCGTATTAATTTATCATATTCTAAGAAATGACATAATCGAAAAAACAGTCAAAACAGTGGCATAATCGGCCGTTAGTATTGATGTAAACAGCTTAAACCACTTTTAATAATACACAAATTGTAACGGGCATTGAGACCAAAACAAATTGATTTTTGAAAAAGTCAATTAATTTAGGTACTTAAAAAAAATATCACTAAACGCACGATCACACCATCGACCTACTTGATGGCAAGCATATATATCTGCAACTACCGTAATTTCCCCTTTTTTTATATAATAATATAATGGTTTAGGTTGACTCCGTTTAATTCAGACTTGAATTAAAAGGCGCCTTAATAGATTTATAACTATTATTTATTTAGAGTTGAAAAGCTCATTGCAAAACATAATATGTTTTTACCAAACCAAAACCAAACAGTAAAAAGCAATTAATTAAGAATGCCGTTTTCTTGAAGCAAATAAATATTTGTTATATTTATTTACATATAGTTTTTGAAATGAGCGTTTCAGATATTCCAGATGAATTAGGTTTTATCTAAGTCAACTTAATAATGCGAAATAGTTATTTCACAAGGGCTCAAGAATTTTTTGCTCTATCGAAACTTGGTTTCGGCGTTTTTTCGAGACGGTGAATACGATTGCATTGTAGTCTTACACATAAATAAATAAAGCTCTAGTTACACCATACAATTT